TGAAGCCTTGGCTATACGAAAATTGAAACCCCCTTTATGTGTTCAAAAACAATTTGTGCTTACACTTGACCTACCCTGGTAGTACTGATTTACTATCCAGAGTGGTAATCACATTTGTTTTTGTGTACTTTAATATTTTTCCTTTGTTATGACTTACCCTTAGCCTGTCTAGTTGACCTCTTAATTTTCATATATAAATGTTCTTAACAAGTATATGTGTAATCAGATTGTTCGAAATGTATTGCGCAAATATATCACATAATCCTGGTAAACTACGTCTTCTAATTGCATTATCAAAATGTCATAATTATCGTTCCATTTGCACAGACATGTTGCTGAACGAAACATGAAAAAGAAAACAAGTTCCATTTTCTCGATATATAGCCGGCATGAAGTACAGTATAGTAAAAAAAAGTACAGTGAAAATTTCGGCTCCTCGTAAACTTCATCGTTCTTTTCCAGCCGTCCTGGAAAAGAAAGAAGAAAATGTAAGTGGATACCGAAATACACTCGTACGCGCGTAAAAACACAATGCTCGCGAAAAAATGGAATATAAATTCACATACACGTGATATCGTTTAAAAGGATTTTTACAAAGTTTTTTTGTTTTTTCGAAGTAAAAATACATAAGCATATTAAAATTGTTTTTTTATAAAATATTACTTATGGTAAAAAAATCGAGATAATATAAAATGTCATGTAGTGCCTTGCGTGCAATAATCACTTAAATGTTCTGGAAATCTTACCCTTCTTCCAGAACGCGTCATCTTAAGTTTATTTTCTGGTTCTATTGAAGTATCATCGGGTGTGTTGCCTGTCGGTTGGGATATTATAAGTGTAAGAGTCGTGTTGTGCGATTATACCAAAGGGAAATTGACATGAATAGGATTTCCTTCTAAATACGCTGCTTCTAATCGATCGATGCTGATGCTATCGTTTGTTCCGTTCTTATCGACCATATAGTACTTAGATTCACGTTGAAGAAATTTGAAAGGTCCTTCGTATGCTCATTCGAATGGTCGTCGATGCGAGTCTCGACGAACAAAAACGTGTGTACTATATCGTAAGTCAGGTTGAACGAAAACATCGGTTGATTGTGGTCGAGTGGAAGCAGGTTTAATTGAACGCATTGCGTTTGTAAACCTGTTCGTGTAGGATGTTAGGTCGATGTTCACTGAAGAGGACGAATGATCCACGAATTCCGGAAGTCGAAGTGTTGCTCCATAAACGAGTTGAGCTGCAGTGTATCCGATGTCAGCTTTCACTGCATTGCGAATACCTAGTAAGACGAGTGAAAGTGTTGGTCCACTGTGAAACGTTTGCAGCTGATAGCGAAGCTTTCAGTTGTCGGTGAAAACGTTCTACCAACCCGTTTGCTTGTGGATGGTAGGCGGTCGTTCAGAAGCGAGTGATTCCTAAAAGTGTGGTCAGACGACGGAAAAGATCAGATTCAAACTGACGTCCGCGGTCTGTAGTGATGGTTGAAGGGCAACCGAAGTTTGCTACCCATCGTTCGACGAAGGTGCGGGCCACTGTTTCAGCAGTGATGTCCTTGATAGGTACTGCTTCTGGCCATCGAGTGAAACGGTCTACGCAGGTTAAGAGATAAGAGTATCCATTTGAATCTGGTAAACTTCCTACCAAATCCAAATGAACATTGTGGAAACGAACGTCCGGAGTTTTGAAAGAGCCTAAGAGACAATTGTTTTGTCTGATAACATTAGATTTTTGACAGCCCACACGGGAGCGTTCCCACTCCCTCACGTCCTTATTTATGCCAGGCCAGCAAAACCGTTCTGCTATGAGCTTGATGGTTGAACGAACACCTGGATGAGAAAGTTTGTGCAACGTATTGAAGACGTTGCGTCGATAACGTCTCGGCACGATTGGGTGATCCCCACGTGTAGATGTGTCACGAAGTATGGTTTCCTTACCTGTTCCCATCTGCTTGATGCGTAGTTTCAGGGTTGTAGACGATAACTCGTGCTGAAGATCAGTGTCTTCTTTCTGAAGCTGGGTGAGTTTCAGTAGGTCGATTCCTTGGAGACTGTTCAAGGAATTTATTCGAGACAAGGCGTCTGCGACTACATTGTTTGCTCCAGAAATGTGTTGAATATCTGCAGTAAACTGCGAAATGTAGTACAGTTGTCGAGACTCACGTGGTGAGTACTTGTCTGAAGAGGAGCTTAAGGAGAAAGTAAGAGGTTTATGGTCAGTGAAAAGGGTAAATTCATGGCTTTCGATAGAGTGTTGAAAATGCCGCACAGCACAATACATAGCTAGGAGTTCCCTACCGAATGTGTTGTACCTCGATTAAGTGTCTGGCAACCGTCTAGAGAAAAATGTCAAAGGTTGCTAGGAGTGGTTAACCCATTGTTGTAAGACTCCTCCCATTGCTGAGTCGGATGCGTCTACTGCGATACTAATGAGTGCTTGAGTGTCCTGATGTGCAAGCATTGTTGCTTGAGCGATAAATTCCTTAATTGTGGAGAATGCAAGTTTAAAAATGATTCGTGAAGCCTGTCGTTAGAATTTTCAGGAAGAGCGCTGATTTCTGCGCCACTATCGACGAGGTAACGAACTCTCATTATCACATCGATGATGTATAACAGACGGCTATGATCGCCGGCTATGGTTGCCGTTAACACGTGTCGGCTCGGAAGTTTCCCGAATTATTTTTCGTGTCGGTCGATTTTGAGTTGGGAAAATTGCAGGGTTTCCTACAAATTCTGGAGGACTTTCCATATTGGTTATGATACCAGTGCCAATCGGGGTTATCAGTCTCTCGTAGTCTAGTGGCGGATCGCTTACGTGAAGTGCTTCTTCTCAGGGTGTGTGACAATTTACGGTCTTTACAAAATTTAAGATAACGTGTAAGTGTATGACATTGCTCTGTTATGTCATTCCGGATCGTTTGAGGTTTTCGTTGACTGAAAGAACCTCGGCAATTGAGGATTCCGTGATTTCTAAGATGCGATCGGCAGATGCATCTAGCTCGTCTACGGCATTGTTTTGAAATGAGACCAGCACAGCTTGCACCTGTTGAGGAAGATTGGATAAGAAGAGTTGCTTTAATAGGCCATCATCGAAGGTTTATTATTATTATTATTACTATTATTATTAATGGCTTTATTCAATATTATATTTTGGTACAATATAGAATTCTCTGGCCGACAACCTCTCTCATGCTTTGAAACATGTCTGTCGCAGAACCGTGTTGCAGACCGATGTTGTTTAGTAGTTGGTCCAACCTTTGTCGATCGGTTAGGTCTCCGCGTTTAAGGATACATCGTTTAAGTGTTTCGTAGGGTTCAGAAACATCACTGAAAGACATACTAGGTGTTACGTACCTGTCGAATTCTCGCGGTAGTGCTCTAATACCCGTAAGACATCAGAATTTGTCCTTAAAACTGTCATACTGTGTAAACATACCCAGGGGTGGTTGTTTGGATAACTGAAGCTTTCTTCCTAAAATAACTTTTTGAACTTATAACAAACCTACTAACTAGGCTTATGAAGAGATAACTTTCAATTGAATCAAAAGTTATCTTTTCTTTTAGAGAAAATTTTATTTTATATGTTGTTCGATAACTTTATATGAACTAGTGATTAAATTTATCATCTGCTCTGTATTGAGTAACATCATTGGACAATGAATAATATATTCCGCTCTATTTGATTATTGACCTTATGTTTGATTTACATAACTTACAAAGACAAGTCGGCAAGTTCTTGTGCGATGTTAGCTTTTAATGTGTAAATCTTGTTAAAAAATGAGTATTTCAGCTATGTCTGAGCCGTCCACCGTTAACGCTGATAGAGGAGATTTTCTTACTCATTAATAAGTAAGATCTCTATAATTATAGAGATAACAACTTTTCATGGTTCTTTGTCCATCACATATGAAACACTTTGAAATCTGTGGGTCCCCATACAACTTTCGTGATACGCTGTCAATATGCCAGGTCCAATATACCTATGATTGTTCTAATTAGATATAGCATTATCGACACCTTGTATACAGGGTGTTATAGCCCGAGCTCCCAACTTTAAAGAAATTTTGGGGAAGCTCTCGAAGTCAAATGACATTGACCAGGGTTAAAGGGGAAATATTGGGGAATTTCCTTAAAATATGCCAAATTTTCACCGATATTGGGAGCGCAGGAACTTGTTGTGCAAGTGGGATATCCGTTTACCAACCAAGTTACGTTTTCGCAGCTCAGTAGCCCTCTCTGTAATAATATATTACCGTGAAACAGGGTCTTCTGAGGCATCAGATGTGCATAGGCTACAGGATTTTAATCGCAGGTGTCTTCGGAGCATTGATCACTTATCATAGAACAGCAGAGTAAGGTGTCTTGGTGCTAAATACGGTGAACTAAGCAGACAAGGCGAGCCCGTTGATAAGGCTGTGGGTCTTTGCAAACAGGTAATTGGGAGATATCATTCATGACCAACCACCACGGGACTCGACGGTCAATGTCGGTTGGAGTAGGAGTAAGTTGGAATAAAGCCAAGAGCTTTCGATTCAATTGTGGCACCTTTTCATGAAGTCAATAACTGTTAGTTGACTCATATCGACAGGTGAAGACTAACTGTTTGGCATCCGTTCGACAACTGTAACGCGTAATTGGAGACGGGTCAAGGCTCGTAATCAGTTGCAGTGCCTCCAGATGTATTCACTCCTTGTCTTACTCGAGATATTCAGTATTTTTTTAAATCATACCTCCTGTAATCTCGAGCCTTACCAGAGGCGCTATCAGCCTAGTCCATAATATATTATTCTTCAGTAAAGAAGAACTAGTTTCGTCATTTTAATATGTTAACCTGCCATCATATGAGTGTCAATCATATTAACTGCTTAGAAGGTAATATACCAAATATCAAATGAATTGCAGATTTTATACATACAAACATACTTTTTGTTCAGATGCGTTCTGTATCATTCAAAAGGACTATAGATTGCGCGTGATTTTTTTAGGATTTTACTCTCTTATTCCATGAAACGGGCAAAACAAGAAAGAGAACTGACAGATGAAGAGCGTAATATCGTGATATCAGTACGTCATTGTGCGCGAGAATTGGACGATGTCTTACAGGGTGCACGTAGAAAAGCCCAGTCGAATCCCAAAGTATTTGCGGAGACAGGAATTAGTGTCATGTTTAGAGGTGTTGACTCTTATGCGGATATGTATGAAAAATTGGGTGTGAAGTCAAGAGATGGATTAGAAAGATTATTTTCTAAATTTTCTGACTGTGAAGAAATTCAGGATACTCAAGATGCAATCGAAGAAACTGAAGGAAACTGGAGAAATTTTCTAGTTAATCTTGATAAGGAGGTTGCACATGATGAGCATGAAAATAGTAGAGTTAATTCAGTATCTAAACTCGAGAACCTTTCTGATGTGGAATGTGATTATTTATTCTTACCATCACTACCACTTATTGACTGGCAAACCAGCCGTGAGGTTAACTTGCAAGATTATGTCCAAAAATACATGTGCCTTGTAGTCATCTGTCAGCCTGCATACTGGCCAGATACTGCTGTTCGTTGGCGTTATTCAGAGGTATCAAAAGCCCAGGTAAATTTCCCACTCCAAAATTAATGATTTTATGATTAACAATATTTTTAGAGTAACGCTACAGAAAACGTTTCGCTATCAAATTTACCATTAGTGTATTTCAGTAACCACATATACTTACTACTACCTATGTGCACATGTGCCAGGTCCTACATTTCATATCACTAACTGACTAGGAACTTCATATTCCTCGATACATTTGTATCTATGGCCATCTGGATCACACTGTCGATTTAATAGTGCGTTAATAAAACTGACGTCAAGTTAGGCTATTACTATTTTATTATGTAGAGGCTACATGTTTTTGCCATTACTTGATCTTACGATCGGCGGTTTCCCATATATCACCTATTACCTTGTTTTGCTACCCATTTCTTGTTCCTGAACTTCCGAAGGATTTCTGTGTTTCATAGATCACCAAAAACAACTAGTTTAGTGAGTAGTATATCTTTCAACTTCATTATGAATATAGTTGTTGATCGAAATTCAGAATTCTGTCATATATACACCATCCACTCCGTTCATGTGGTTCCCGTTGTATATTCACTAGCATAACGAGATGTAGTACACTAAAATTCATCCACGTGAAATAACATGCTATGCAATACTACACCTAGTACTTATATTGTGCGACTTGTAGGAGCTGACCTAACCAAAAACCAATGCTCTTGAACATACAGATGACTCACCACTGTAATGATTCTTACCTTCTAAAGATTTTATTTAATTTTATTTCTCCTGTAGATGTATGTCTAAATAGTATAAAATGATTTTGTTTGAACATCTTGAGAATCGTACTAAAAACACAACAGAGCAATGCGATTATCATTATCGTTAATACGATACGTTGAGCTACTGTTCATAGTTACGAAAATTTGTTATGGTAAACTGACTTCCTTTTGAGTATTAATATTAAATTTAGTTTGACCATTATCTTCATTTCTTATCTATATCAGACTGAAAATGAGGCAGACAATCGATTTGAGACGTGGCATCAACAGACACAGGCCCAAATTAAGACAATTCACATCAGTAACCGATTTCCGCCTGTCACCTGCAATCTCTTAGCATTGGGTACGGTCATCACCCTGAATCCAAACAAGAAATATGAACTTGCTCATATGACTCCAACTAGCAATCAATGGCCCCAAATGCTGTGGTACGACCGGAGCGAGGAGAGTTAGCTCTCCATCTCGAAATGCACTCACATGGCCAAGCGTATACAGCCACTGCCAGGGAGGTCCTTCTCGTGGCAGGGGTGTTGTTTACGAAATTGAGAGAACGAAACGCAAATGTTCGGTACTTTACCCGGGTTGGTGGATACGGAGGGTCCACCTAGGAGAGTTGGGAAACCCTGATTCCAAATCGATGGTGCACATGAGCTCCAGGATCCTGAAGGGACAAATTGCGTACGAACCAAATGTTGGTCACCGGTTACCATGAGAGTGCATCTCCTAAAGTCGCTCCACTGTCTTATGAATTAGACTTCCGGATCAAAGGTTCCAAATGTGGCCCCCTAGGAAAACCGCCTGTTTCGGTTTGGGCACCTGGGCAGTATTACAGCCATCACACCAATGATAAGTACTACTGGCCTCATTGTTATTATGTGGTGCATATGTAATTGATTCCCTCTTGTACCAATGTTTGTGTGTTCAGATAAATAAGCGATCAGTGACTTTATGTATCTATGCCACGACAGTTTTACTTTCAGTAGTGTTTATCCTCTACCATTGATTTTAGTACTTCAAGGAATATGATTTCACAAAATAGGATTCTTACTACGTAATTCTCAAGAAGCTGTCTGTCAGGCAGATATTTTACTGTTCATTACGTTTTCAGTGGAATTCGAAACGTTCTAATTAGAAATCCCGCCAACTGATATCAACTAATAAAGACACATATTTCTCACTAGTTTTCAATATTTGTATTCAATGCGAAGGGATATTGATAGTACTGACTGTCAAAATTCTCAAAGTATGATAAAATTGTATGTGGTAAACCTTATTCTCAGTTGATCTTCAAATGGTACCTTTTTCATTTGGTTGAGTGGTTTGCGGAAATTAGTTGAATTCGGTGATAGTTCAGACTAATATAGTAATATGTTTCTCCATTAATTCGTTCCAAGAAGTTATGATCTAGTAGTATACTAACATTGACGTCGAAATGGAGGCATTTATGCCTCAACCATATCAGTTTAGACGTCACGGTAAGTCATAAATTCATAGTTTTTAGATGTAACATACTATTTTTTCTATTTATTTTAGATAGTTTATTTAAATTAATTATATTCTGTACAATTTTTTCCTCTTTGTGTTATGAAATTGATTTTACGTTTATGTAATTTCAAACTTTTTAAAAGTGTGATCTATCCCAGTTCAACGTTGGATACGCAGTTGTTACATGGGGCCCAGCAGATGAAGTGCGGAGTTGGTGTAAACAAGTTAATCGAATTACAAAATGGCCGGTTTTATGGGATAAATCAGGCGATTTTCGAGCTAAAATTGGATTTAAATCAGGTTTACAACGTGTTAGTCTACAAAATCCTCTTTTTAGCCCATACTTTTCATAAAATCAGTTTTCATTATTGCATTTCAATATCATGCAATATGAAGTGCATTAAGTGGTTAGTACCATGGTCATGTCTATGTATTTTTCAAAAACAATAGTTTCACACTCGTGGAAGATATTAATGTCTTTGCGAGTCAAGTTTACGTATTAGCGTGAGCAATCTTACCACATACTTGTAGAACTTGATGTTTTGAGCTGAGGATGTTTACTGTCTCAATCTGATCATCGTCGTCTCCCGACAATCGCTCACATCCTATTCTGATATCCAATATTATGTGCTTTGGAAAAACCCAACCATGACTGTCACCTTGACGTGGTGCTTGAACTTGAATATTGTGATGACCCGATCGGACTGTTTTGGTTGGAATACTCATTCCCTTAGGTGCTACCATGCCTGGCAAGCTGTTCAAAGAGCAGTAAGACTAAAAGCAGCAAACTCATGATCCGAAGTTGTACTGCTGGCTGTATAGGAGTATGATGGCATTAAGGGTTTTTTCTTCAGACACTTAACATCTACAGCGGTACTGCCTCCCCACAACGAAAGGAGGAAGTTAGATAAGGTCGACCTTGAAGACTGTATACCTCACCTTGCTATATGGATTTCTGCCTTTAGCGACAAGGTCTTAGAAGTAAGTAGCTAGTTTTCCTAAAACTATTCACAAAAGGGTAATGTGTAACCAGCCTTATGCAGTTGTCCGTTAGGTAGTGAACTTACGATTTCGGGTTAGCAAAAACTGCCTTTAACCCAGTCTCACTTTTAGGTACCCGAGAAAGTTTTCTTTCATAGTGTGAGCAAAAGGGAAGTTATAGCCAACTTCACCTCTGGGAAAGCTCTAAGTTAAGGGTGAACAATTATATAGGTATTACCATCTTGAAATACTAATATTAATGGCTTGGGCACGTTTTATGTTGTCCTAGCGGCTCTACACCGCACATCATTTGTTGTTAGTGTGATTATATAAAAAACCACATAATAGACAATTCTTGACTCCGAAAATCCCCAACATTGTGAATTAAAACAACATATATGGGTGAACAATAAGGTTTGCAATTCGATCCTTCTCAGGCTTTATTCTAGTATATAAGGATGCTTAATATGCATGTATGAAATTATTAAACCAATCAAGGCATTTTACGGGTCATTGATAACAGTGGGATAGATAACATAGATAAACGTTAAGTAAAAATTGATGTGATGATTTTAAAGTCACATAGGGATCTGAATGCATTTCAACACGAATCCAGCTACTCCTGTGGAGAGCGCTATATTGTGCGCACAACTAGACCATTGAGCCGACGAGTTAATGAGCACCTCTCTTCGCAGTTGGAAAAGGGCTTCATGAAAACAATACACAGCTGTGTTTTATAACACTTGATTTAGTGTTTATGTAGGAGTAGGAAATAAGTCATTTAAAGTGATCTTTGGTATGCCTACTAGTCTTCCTTATGAGGTTCAATCTCGTCGCTTATACATTGCGGAAGCTGTAGGGATTACAGCTGACAATCCAATTCTTTGGGTTCGTAAGGAATTCGTGACTTATTCCACCCTTGGCCGGATTAGCCTTAGTAAACGATTTTACTTATTATTATTTTCCATATTCCTCGTCCCATTAATTTTCTTTACCCCTTTTTCCAAACATGCGCTTCACTGTGTAATTGGTTGGATACTTCTTCTTACGTAATTTTTGAGGAACATTATTCCATCTGTTTTTTTCAGGTCCTTAACCTACTTTCTGATGATACATTGATTGCCATAACTAATACATCTGTAATCACGCTATCGATTCGTGCTGTTTACTTATTATGTTTATTTATGTAATCTTTTCCACTGTTATCACTGACTTCCTTGATTGGTGTAATAATTTTATAAATGCATATAAATATTATTGTATATTAGAGTAAAGCCTGATAAGGATTTAATTGAAAACAATGTTCTAATTTTTTACGTGTCATCCTGACATAAAGGATAATGGAGTTGAGTTTACATCCACTTTTCACTCAAGTACCTTTAGATGAGGCAACTAAGACATCACCAGAAAAGATTTGAAATAAGAGTTAGTAACAATGTATTTTGAATATATATTGTTTTTCGCAAACATTAAAAGGGCCCTGGGTTGTGTTTTTACTCAGTGCTTTGTTTAATACATGTTCTCCCCTTTCTCCCTAACCCTGGCATCTTGCTGTTTCATGCACATCTTGATGTCTTATTTTATCGAATCTTCTTTATAGGTAGTATTTTTACATAAACACTTCATAGTTTGGTTGTATGCACTTGACAGACTCACCATTATAATGTACGCCCATAGTGAATTTTAGCTTTAATTGTATATTTATTACAAGCTGTCAGATATTTGGAAACGTTTACCACCTAGACTATGCATATATCAAGATATCTAAAAAAAATTTTGGTCGCCCAGCCCAATTATGTTTATACTACTAAGATTTACAGGGTGTTTGTGCATTAGATTTTTATCCCCTAATAACTCATTGGAGTGTAGGATAGAAATTATAGTGATAATATCACTCTTGTTTTAACAGTGACATTAGTGTTCTACTATGCAGTGTTCCTCAATTAGGAGTGAGGGTTATTTTCCCTTGCCTTATCTTTAAATTTTTTTTACAAAGCACAAACTTGCTATAGGGATGAGATATGCCTCTGAAAATAATTACAAACGTATTAGTGATGTATCTTCACACAACTCACTCATAAGAACCATGTCTTAGAGCAGTACTTTTAGACATACCAGAGAGAGGATTTACATCGAACTGTCCTCTTAGGAAAATCTTAGCCGTGATATTTTTCGCGTATACTTTACTGTTTTGATGAGACCAAAATGAATGTTACCCAATAATTTCACCTTATTATGTTGTGTAAATTTACCAAGGTCTTAATAAGTTTTTATCATATATAAAAGCATTAATTAAATCTTATTGTTCCGTTACTTAATGGATATAGGTATGGGCCGCTGAAAATCTGGATTTCCTTGGTTGTCAACGTTCAATGCATCATCGTCCGATAAATTCACCGCCAACTAATCTCAACTGGTCAGAATGGAAACAAATCGGTGGCGAATTAGTTTTATCTCAGCCTGTCTTATGGAACCCACAAAAGACAATGAAATCTAACATATATGTAGCAACGCAAACAGGTGTAAAACATAAGCGCAATACTCATGAAAGTGATGAAGAAGATAGATCCAATGAAGAAGACTTGCACTCAGAATCACTTAAAGTATCAATTAGAGAGGCCCTTCGTGATAAAGAAGCGATGAGTTCAAAACAGGTCAAAGTTTGTGCATTGCACCTAAGTACTCGTATTTCGGATCTCATGCCATCAGGTTCGATATACCAAGCTGCTTTAACGTGTTATGCTCGTACACACAATACTACAGAAAGCGATGTCATGGATAAAATTAGGAGAGATCGCAGGTTTTGTACACCACCTGAATCAGCTCGATTACAGTACGAAGCAACTACCGGTTTATATTATGACCCAGAAACTGCTTTATATTATGACCCACTAAGAGGTTATTTCTATGATTCAACGAATCAAATGTACTACTATTGGTCTCAATCTGAAGGACGATATATCTTAGCCAATACTTTGATTCAAGCTGAACTTGCTGCTGCGCATGTAGCTCAAGCAGTAGCAGCCCAAGCTGCCGCAGACAAAGCTATGGCTGAGCGAGAAGCTGCTAAGAAGGCGGCCATGTGTGTAGCCGCGCAATTGGCGGAGATACGTGCGGGTAAAGACGATTATGCTGCTTATGCGTATGCAACATGTGTATTACCTCAACAAGAACCAAGCGACCCAGATTACAAAGAAATTTCTACAGACAGCGGTAGATTTTGTATCGCTTATCAAAATACAACAGCCGCTGCAAATAATATAGAAGCATCACTAAAAGCATGGAACACAGGCAATACTAACAGTGGTACTGAGATTTTGTCGTCTAAACCTCTTGTTCCTTATACAGATGACAATACAGAAACTGATCATCGTAGTTCAACACCGCCACCCCCAGGGTTGTAAATAATAAAACTGTAAAGAACACAACAAACCCCCATTTCATTACTTTAGTCACATTGCTCCACTCACTATGTATTTGGCACTTTTGCGTACTATAAGCTGTGCAGCGTATTTACTTTGGTGTTTGTACAGCGATTTTCTGGGTTTAATTAACTTGTAACATTTTACTATTTCTGTAAAGCATAAACTATTCTAGTACAAAAAAGAATGAAGTTGGTGAAACAACATTTGCATGTCATGGTAACTAAAGTGTCCCATGAATAAGGGTAGGCGATGCTGAATGATTTAATGCCGCCAACGTAGTTATTTGACCACGTATTTTTCGTAAACATTACTGACATTTATGAAGATGCCGCGCCATCTTTTTTATCAACTGAGCTTTGTTCTTTCTTCGGACAGAACCAACTTTAAGCGACGAAGCGCCTACGAACTTGTTAGTATTTAGGGATTTTGAAACCAGTAAAAGAACTTCATTTGTAATCTAATAACGAGAATGTGCGCACTATGAGGCATAGATACCCCGTATCACATGAAATAGAAATAAATAATAACCTATTGGTTTGTATTTTTGTTTGTCAAGTCTTTCTTTGAGACATAAATTGTTGGCATCTCATGGATGATAAAGCCAGGGATTGTCAGTATATCAATCAATCTTCTCGTTGAGAATACTTCCACATAATTATTCTGAAGAGTTGTTGTTGTTTTGATATCTTTGCTTACTTGTTCAACACCACTTTTTTGGACATTTACATAGAAATAAAACTTGGCAGTGGAATCAGAAGGTCGACTTGTTTTGGAATGTAACCATGATGAAATTTTTCCAAAAGGCGGTGAACCAGAGGGATAATACGTAATCAGCGCATCTTGCCGTTCAGATGATACATTAAGTATGTGATTGCTCCATATAGTACATAAACGTGTCAGTTGCTCTTGATCATGTACGACCAGACGTATTGATTTCGAATGGCTGGTAATACAAGTTACATCTGAAGCTTCTTCTGAAGACATAAGACTAAATTCTATGCTCCATAAAATACTTTTAGGTTCGTCTTTCTGTATATGGACACGGGTTTTGTTGACTTTTGTACGTGACAACATGAGTGTTGGTGCGAGTCGAAGTGTTACACCATATTCATTGGCCAACTTTACTAGTTGATTCCTTCTACGTATCCTCCCAGTATTTCGATGAGATAGCTAAGGAAAAAATAGCTGGAAATGATAAAACTCGTAGCACTGTGTCTATTACTTATAAAAAAAACAGTACAGTAAAGAATCTCCCAAATACACCGTAACCACTGGAAAAGTTGGAAGTTTGTGATAAGAAAGATGTTAGTCTCAAGAGACCATCTTTTTGTTTGAGCGATAGGTTAGCATGGCGACATTAGTACTAATAGAGAGGTTGGTAGTACTTGACGAGATTAACATTTAATTTGTCCTGCTAAGATCATGAATAATATGTCAGTGATATATTTCGTAGTATGAGCTTTCGACCTTAACCTACTGACTTTGGCACACAACCCTGCTCAAAAGATAGACTACACGTAATTTTGTGACGAACATTGTTCGTGAAGAATCTATGATACTGATAACGCTTGTAAGTGACTACGTGAGAGTAGGGATGAAAGTCGAGAAATGTACGAGTATGTTAGGAATTAAATATCTGCATATATGTTGAGTGTCACCGACCAAACTAATAGCGAGTAACTAAATCAGATGCAAAAAACATTGGGAAATTACGTAGTTAAAAGTGAATATGTAATTATAAGAATGAAACTCACGGGCAGAACATTCGTTACGAATATAAAATCTAGGGAAACTTCGGTGTAACTTTAGGGTTTAGGAGACTAGGAGTGAAGTCTTAGGCTCCATGGACTTATTTATACAGAGTGTGGGTTCATTTATGAGTCTTCTTATGGTTACCGCAGTTCTGCAGCACAGAACAAGTCTAACGATTTTTCACTGATACGACTATAGCTACTACTTTGACATGGCGGTCGGGCATGGCTGGGACATAAGTCCTACTATTCCAGACAGGTCAGTTGGAGAACAGTACGACTGAAAGCAGCAAGGTCCGAAGACGAAGTCGTATTGTCGACTGTTGAGGGGTGCGACGACGCTAAGGTGTTCAACTCGGAAACCAGCATCTGCAATGATATTGTCTTCTCACAACTGAAGGAAGGAATTTAAAAAGATCGAGAGTAGAAATATCAAAACTCACCCTACCCCACGGATTTCTGTCTCCGGTGGTAAGGCCTTTCGAAGTGCGGAGCTAACAAGTCAGGACCTCATAAAACGTACGTGCGTGTTCGGCCTCAAGCAGTTGTCTCTTGGTTTTTTGCGGATACGCTCCTAGGTCGCTAAGACCAACGTTAATCAAGCTTTTTCTAATGGAGTTTTGTTCTCTGAGCTGGATGGTTTAGTCGTGGAGCTCTCGTCGTTCTTCTGAACGACATCGTCCCAAGGTTTAGGCAACAGAAACTTAACAACCGCCCTTATACCTCTAATAACAGCAACCGAGATCATCGTGTTTACGATCAAATCCCTCCCGCACTTTTCAATAATTCTCATGTCGCCGTGACTAATCTTTGTGGCATATCTTTATCAACACACGCTACTGATGCTAATGATTTGAGTTCATGGAATGTTAGTGTTGGTCTTCCCAAACGACATTCTAAACTTTTAATGTCTAAACTTTGTGTCAGATAAGAGGACAGTTTTTTTTTAGCTGGGACTTTAGGAATTGTGGCGGGTGATTTTATGCCCTAGTAGGTAAACTAAACCAAACCTAAAGGGATTTGGGGTGGGTCTTACGGTGTCGCGTCTCAGCAACCAGACGGTGATGGCCGTAGGATGTCAATATGCTCAGGTAACCGTCTATTTTTGGCAAGCAGCAACTTTAAGTACACGGAAAAGCATTGTCTAACGTGGAGACTTGCTGAATCGACTCAACGATGGACACGAAAAGATCACATTGCCGTTAGCCATCGCTGAGGGGGCTTGATAGAAAACTATCGCTCATTCTAGAGCATATGTTTAGACTGAGATTACGCTCCAGTTCCAGCGTATTTTAGTCAGCATCTAAATAGACGTAAAAAAGCTGCGGCATGAAAACATGTCTTCGAAATCTGGCTGTTAGTGAGACTATTTCGGGAAAAGACGTGACTATATTTCACTCTTAATAGAAGAAATTGAATCGATGGGTAGAACACCTTAGGGGACAGTTGAACTGGCCTCCAACCGCACTTCAGCTACACACCATTTCTAAGCAATGTGAATGGGAAATTGAGTTAATTCCTCCAACTCTTAGTGAGGTTGAAAAGGCAAGAGGTAGTACTAGGGCCTTGTCGACCAACTCCCGAGGATTTTAAAGATAGTGGTCCAGTTTTAGCAATTAGATCAGCCGAGATCTTAGCGAGAATTCCGAGACCTGACTGTAGTTCTGTCTGACTGATTTCAATCGTCGACCGTCCCAGTCTACAAGAAAGGACAAACATTCTCTTGTAATAATCACAGGGGAATCAGTCTAATTAAGTGTCTGAAATATTGGCCCCAATAATACTTCGACGTCTAATTAGAGCTAGTGGAGAGCGAATCCGAGAAAACCAGGCTAGTTTCAGACTTGGATGTGGATGTAAAGATCAAATATTTACCCTTCAGAAAGTTCTGGAACAGATATACTCTTCGACGTCCGACAATAGTTGTATTCCTTAACCCCGAGGTGGCGTTTGAATCCGTCGATTGTGTGGTTTTGTGACGGTAACTATCACTGAAAGGTGTGCCAAAGAAGTACGTTAATCTTTTACAGGCTGTTTATTAAAACACTTTTAGTCGAGTTATAGCTTATGGCAAACTGTCATCGGAATTGAATACTTTATTTAGTGTTCGTTAGGTTGTCTGCCTTTTCACTTTTAACTTTGTTGTAGACATGCTTTCAGAGGCAATACTTTTATCTAACTTTTAGGGTTATATTTTCTGCCCGGAGATTCACTCGTTGATGTAGAATACGAAGATGATATAGTTCTGTTTGGTGAAAACGTTGACAAAACAGTATTCTAGTTTCCCTAAGCAACAATGAAAGCACGTTTGAGAGGCGGTTATCTCCCTTCAAATATAAAATGATTATTCAGGACTGGCTTACATCAGAGCCTGAGTTAATTATAGGGCGTGGATTAGTTGAACGCATCGACCACTCCATTTATATTGGGAGACTCATTAATCCTGATATTCTGGTGTCTGATGGAATCTCAATCATAGATGTCTTTAAAGCGCTGCCCTTGTATTTTAGGACTACCGAGTAAGTAATGCCTGAATTAGGAATAGGGTAATAGGTAAGGATGACAAATTGATTGAACTAGCATATTTTAATCAACTGAGACAGTTGGGATGTGTTACGTATGCCCAACCGCTGTCTACCTTGACGGGTATGTTATATGTAGTAGGAGTGCGTTGGAAGAAAGATAAAGTGGCTTAAACAAGACTTAGCATCAGTCCGATGAGTCATTGACAATTGGACTGGGCTATGCTAATAGATGTAGAATAACTGGTTTCAGTCCACATGATTATAGTAATCAGTGGTTACATAATTGGAATTATATGGCTCAAAATCGTCTTCAATGGTGCAGGTGCGTCCAGTCTTAGTTCCCTCCAGATTCTGGGCTTCTGAATTCTTCGTAACTTGTTTTGTGTTTTTATTTAATTGCTTTATATTCCCTTGAATCGTATCTGATCCCTAATCTTTTCTGTTACCACTCATACTATCACTACCGCTACTATTTAGTGACCTGGGTTGACAATTTCATCTTGCTATGCAAAGTGGTTATGGCAAATTGAACTGATGCACATACGTACCATGTTCTGCGTTGTGACTGACTGATTCTACGGATAAATTTGAAAGCTAGCTTTGCAACGACTCGATGACTGGCATACACTAGCTTCGAGGGGATAGAATACATCCATGTAAACACAAGATCCAGGTAGCAACAGAACTTTGACACCAATCGGAAAAAGATGGGCGTGATATATAAGCTTAGATGAAAATATTAACTAGAAAGCGATAAGATATAGCAGTGTTCACTTACCGACAAAAGTTGTTTCTCCCTATAAGCATTTTTCCTGTCTATTTCCTCTAGTAATCTATAGTCTTTCTGAAAGAAGAACATTGAATAATTCTCTTTCCGACAATAGGTAATAGTATCACATATGCCCGTACAATCAAACTGTGCTTTATGGTCATTACAGCATGAAAGACTACAAGTTTTTACTTCACATTTCGGACATTTGTATTTAAACTCATTTTCTGAGCACATAGCGCATAACCGATTGTCACTGACTGAAGCACATTTCACAAATTGCGAATTTTCTACATTCATTACTGTATTACTTCAGAACGACGTGGCACCTAGAGAGTGGCATGAAGAATAGTAACATTCAGAATTTCGAACAAATCAATGAGAAAAGTGTAACTGGGTCGATAAAGTGTGAATAAAGTCCACTGTTCCAGCAATAATCTAAAAAACCACTGAGAAACAGCTTCTCAAGTAAAAGTAAACTAGACTGACGACCAGTCAGTCAGTGATTTCGGGAATTAAGGTTGGAGTTTTTAGCACGAACCAACATCAGCTATAACGCCGAAATGCTATTTAGCCGTATAGATCGTCCTTACATAACATATCGCTTGGCATAGTAATCTAATATACATATTATTGTACACTCCTCCCGAAAGTACGCTGAACAGGTCGTAAGCAAGTTTCAGGTAAATCTACGCGTCGTTAAAAATATGTCATAAACAGTAACTCATTTTACTACATTAATTTGCAATATACTGAAGCCAAAAAACATGTGACATTACGCACACATTCAATGAACGCGGTCCGTAAAAACAACATTCATTATCTAGTAATATATTCCCAGTAATTAAGAAAACTTGTCGTGAACCAAAATAAATAGATTGATTACTTTGTAGTGATCTACTAGAATCAAGAGAACGCGATTGGTGTTATGAAAACAATTATTATTTAAGGACAGGGCCTACCAACTCGGCAAACATTATATAGGTAGGCTACCTGTCCATTCACGTAAGGCTCATACAGACAAACAGGAAGCTCACGCGTTTCAAATTGAAAGCATAAACTGCTTATACGTGAACGCCGCGAGTCTACGAAACAAAATGGATGAGCTACGTGAACTTGGCAACACTCATAAGGCTCATCTGGTAGGAATAACTGAAACGTGGACATCTCAGTTCTCGGACCAGGAGTTAGCAGTACCTGGGATCTCTTTGTTTCGCAACGACAGAAAATCAGGAATTGGGGTGGAGTAGACATGTTCATACGATCTTGCTTTGAGTTACAACAAGTTCGTAACCTCGAATTTAACCGTCTTGAGGAATCCATATGGTGCTCTGTAAGATTGTCTGCTACTTTGAGGTGTCTAGTCGGAGTCATATATAGGAAGCCTACCGCCGACACCGAGTATGACAGTCGTATGATGGAAGGACTATCTCGCTCTACTCGTCTCGGTTTCACTCATATCCTGATTCTAGGGGATTTCAATCTCCCTAGAGTCAACTTCGTGGAACATACGTACATTGGAGGTGAAAATGTAACTGAAGCTCGGTTCTTCAACCTCATTGAGGACTTGGGATTATACGAAAATGTAAAGTCGGCAACTCGTTGGAGAAACAGTCAGACACCATTGCGCTTAGACTGTGTATTTACAAACGAAGAATTCCTAGTTGACATCCTCTCAATCCTGGCTCCCCCAGGAAAAAGCGATCACGCCGTTATGGCTTTCAGTTTCGTCAGCAAAACTGAGCTAAGATATCCCACCAACAACTTGCGCTGGAATTTCAGATGGTTGGACGTGTCAGCTTTACAGGACTATCTACAACTGGTGGATGGGGATGTTCACCCTCAACTCGATGCGGATACTCATTGGGACTTCTTACTACACATGCTCATATGTGCTACAAATCATTCAGTTCCTCAAACGGTCCCTCATATCTATCAGCAACTCACAATCATCAAGAACCTCACTCTTCTCCTGCTAAGCTGCAAAAGGCACTGTTGAGCAGAGTACAAGCGAACTGATAACAACGGAGAGTACAGGCAATACAAGCATAAAAGGAACATAAGCACAAAGGCTACAAGAGTAGACAGGCTCAGTACCAGACAAAGCCTATGGACACATTTGTCTCTAATCCGTAAAGCTTATTCCGTTATGCAGCCTCTCTTCGTCAAGCCAAAACTGGAGTTTCCCAACTGCTAGGTCTCAACGGCCCGACCAACGACGCCGCTAACCTTTTAGCCGAACAATATTCTCGGACATTTCAACCGACCCACATAAACTATAGTGACGAAAGCTTCATCTGCAACTCCGAAAGACTTTTCGAAGTGAACCTGAGCGCTGATTTGGTGTTCCGGAAACTGCACTTGAGAATTGACACTTCTCCTGGCCCGGATATGGTTCATTCCGCCATACTGAGGGAAGCAGTCTCAATACTGACAATGCCGCTTAGCGTGATGTTCTCCCACTCGCTAAGCCGAGGAAAATTACCGGAAAATTGGAAGCTGGCTCACATCACACCAATTTTTAAAGGAGGTCGACGCGGCGAAACTTCAAGTTACCGACCGGTGGCTCTTCTCTCAATACCTTCAAAAATCATGGAGTCCCTGATATGCGATGGCATAAATGACCATTTACTGTCCTTAAATTTCTTCTCACCCCAAACAACATGATTTCAGGAAGTGTTACTCTTGTATAACCAACCTGCTAACTGCGGTGGACAGATGGACAAGCATCCTCGATCACGAGGGGAAGGTTGATATCATCTACCTAGATTTCTCAAAAGCTTTTGATAAGGTTAACCATACATGTCTTATCAATAAGCTCAAACGATTGGGTATCAGACCACCTCTAATCGATTGGCTCACTTCATACCTGAAAAATCGACATTTTAAGGTCAGGGTTAGTTTTACTTTATCTCAGGCTATGGAATGTCCTGGTGTGGTCCTCCAGCGCTCAGTACTAGGGCCTCTTCTCTTCCTGATCTACATAAATGATCTTCCTCAACAGGTAACGTCAGACTTATTACTTTTCGCGAACGACGAGAAACTTTGGAGAGAAATATGCAACCAAGGCGATATACAGGCACTTCAGTAGGATCTGACTAGACTTCAAAGTTGGGCAGATGACAACGGACTTACCTTTAACACTTCAAAGTGTAAAGTAGTCCATCTGCGACATGTCGCAAACTACACTTATAACTTAGGCGACTCTTCTCTAGTAGTATCCCAAGTCGAAAAAGATTTAGGAGTCCTGGTGCCCTACGATTTAAAATCTAATGCTTACTGTGACAAAAATGCCTTCCGAGCAAACCGTGCACTGGTACCATTGAAGCGCATTTTTGGCCAGTTTGACGGAAGAACTTTCCATATAATCTTCAATAGTTTTATCCGTCTCCATTTAGAGTACCGCAACATAGTATTTCCTCCCTCACTCCAAAAGGATAAGGATACCTTGGAGCGTATCCAACGGCGAGCCACGAGATCAGTTCGAGGACTCAAATTTAAACCTTATGAAAAGCGCCTCCAATCATTTGACCTTTACCCATTAGAGTATAGACGTCTTAGAGGTGACCTGCTGATGGCTTACAGTATCCTTAACACTTCTGGACATCCTCTCAAACATCTAGTTAAGCTTAGTTCCAATACTACCCTAAAGGGTAGCACTCAGGAATTGGAGACACAACATAGCAGAACGGACTGTTGACACAATTTCTACTCCTTAAGAGTTGTCAGATGCTGGAATTCACTGCCGGCCGAGCTAGTCCAAGTGACTTACCAGGGGTCCTTTAAGAGGCAACTTGATCTGTTCTTAAGGGTTAAGGATAGTATCACACTATGATTTACTAATTTCCTTTTCCTCTTTCATTGTGAACATACTCAGGTTCCTGCCTGGAGGTATTGGTGATCGCCTGCTACTAGACACAGAAGCCCGTTAAGCCAAAGCTTCTTCAATTCCGTCTACAACCATTTGAACTATTTGAAGTCTTTGTTCCGTTCGCAGTCTTAATCGATTCGTAACCGCTACAAACATAGCAGTATATGCTCATTCTGCGATGATTTTCTCGATAGTACTAACGTTACGAGTTTATATAAAGTGGGTGAAAGACGGTTGTCAGCAAAACTCATGGGAAGTCACTATTACGTCATGATTATTTGAGATAATCATATCCCAATCTCCCAAGCTTGAGGAAATTTTGGGGAAACATCCAGAGTGAAATGACTTTCACAAAAGTTTAGGGAAATTTCGGGGAAAAACTCCAAACTTAGGGGTATTTCGGGGAAATCTTGGGGAATTTCTCCAGATCTGAGTAAATTTTGGGGTTTTGGTGCCATTTCCCCAAAGTTTACTGTGGCGGCTTCCCTAAAATTGGGAGCTCGGGATTGGAGGAAAAGAGTAAAAGAATTGTCAGGTAGAGAAGTTTTTCCTCATAAAGATTCCAATCACTGACTCCTAGTTATTCAGTTGAAAGGTTTGCAGTTTTACTAACTATTGGGACTTTGGTTTACTAAGTAAGGAGCTACCAAGCGATCTAGGAGTGGACACAACTGTTGATTTGAGCTTTCAAACAAAGATAGGCCGTCGTAGTTCAGTCGGACTTTCATTTCGGTGAAAGTTGTCTTGCGCAGCCAATTTTCTGAAGTCCTCATCAAACTCGATTTCAATCCTAGATGGCAGTAGACTCCCGTTCCCAGAATTTTGAGCTCCACGTTGTTGCAGCGATGTAGAACACTTTTGATGGATGTGGGGAGTTCTGGAATGTGCATTTAAAAAAGGTCTAGAATGTCGTCAGCCATTTTCACGGTTATGTCACCTCCTTTCATCATCTCATTGACAATTCTGTCTAGTTGTTTTTTCATTGAAAGATGAATGGGTGAAGACATTTCTGAAATTACACCATCTATAACTTGTTAATAAATAAAGCTAGACTACCGTCGGCTGTGCTGGCAGAACACTGGATGTAACTACACGAAGCAGTGGGTGTTTGTGAGACAACATTGTTACACTGCTCTGTAACTGCGATGGTCCCTACTTCTGTGGCAACTGAATTGTCGTTCTCATCGTCACTGCTCGTTAACTGATACTTTTTGATGCATTCAGCTTTTAACTTCCTCAACCTTCTGTAAAAAGTTGATTTGGGACAGCTCACCAACCTCAAGTCTCTGGCGGCTTTAGCCCGCCTTTTAGCAATCTTATCAAGCTGTAAATTATTATTCTGAAAGAGACAATTGACTTAAGTTAGACTGAACAAAAGCAGTAATCGAAGTTCTGGACAGTACAAATAACCCACCTACATGGCGTGAGAATTTGAAAAAGTAGTTTAAAGCCGACGAATCATTGTCTCGTGTCTTTTTGATGCACTAAAACAAAACTTCAACTTCGGTAGACTATTCGTGACCAGAAGTCATTACTTCATTAGAATTAATATTTCTTCATTGTAATTTAATATTTAAAGGTCCAATAGTGCAATTTTGATGAAATGTCAATCTGCAATAATGCACAACGCACATTTTGGAGATTTCCCCAAAATTCCTTCAAACTTGAGAGCTTGGGAATACAAATGTTCTGATTTTTGGCAAGTATTTATTCGTTGGACCTTAAACTTTCACTTTTCTCAAGGAGTAAAAACAAAAATGATCAGTGAGCACTAGTTTTCACTTATCAAGAGAGGTGATAATAGGCTTCTAATGAGGTAAAAGATTCCCTAACAAGTTAGTGGGAACTAGTACGAATGATGTAGTAGTATCAGCAGAAAGCATTACACCCTTACGAGTATGGTATATACAGTGGGCTTCTACACACTCTAAATAGTTTTAGACATTTCTTAGCAGCCGATTAATAAGTAAGCTTACAAAATTGTCAGAAACCATGATTTTTGAAAAATTAATTGTAGTAATGGATGTGCATCTAAACATAACGTTGAAACAACCACAAACTGAAATTCAAGATCAGTCGTATACCTGGAGAAGTTCAGGTTGTTGATGCTTGTCTTATACTTATCGATCTTTACAGTACTTTTTGAGCCATTAGTCACTCCAATATATTATATTAATATAGATCTATCAATCAGTCGTCTACAGATGCACGCATTAAATCATTAGCTCGAGACACAGCATTTGTGAAAGTTCAACAGATCTACAGTACCTTTCTTAGTACGGATGAAATGACTGAAAGATTTCACAAATGTTGTTGAACCTGTTGGTATAGTGTGATGTTTGTATGAACTAATGATTCCCTTGTACTTGATGTCTGACTGTTTTTGAATTCTAAATACAATACAGCCGTTAGTACCCACTTAGTTCTATTTGGTCATAATTGCGTTGTTTTTGGGATTCCTTGTTCGTATTATGGTTCAAATACATCTAACCATCACATAGAGCCACTAATTAATGAGTAAAACCCAGAAGTCAGATTTTTGGTGTAGCTTTTAGCGCTGAAATCCTGTATTCACGATATCTAGTTTACTCATCTCTGTCTTTTTTTAGGTTCCACACATAATTAAAATGTTTAGGGGTTGGTCGAACCACCTGTAGCCATAGTTTGCTATCCTTCAGTTTTTGAATCTCAATCGGTGCGGTTTGGGCAAGGAAGATACTGCATACATATCAGTTAATAAATAACGGACTGAAAACTGTTAAGAGTTGTTAGGTAGGTCAGGTAAATAGGTGGTGGGTACAGAAATGCAATTCTATCTTATCTGTAATCATAATAATTCATCTGAACAAGTATGGCTTGTAATCTGGTGATGACACCGCATTATAACAGCACGTCATTGTATGCAGATTTGTACAGTGCGTGAAGATAACAATGTAAAATAGTAGTTAGCATATCTTGTAGGTCTAAAACACACCTTTTACAGATAACCGTCTTTTGATATCGTAACTAGGTCATTTGAAGTTTAGTAATTATATATCCAGGTTTCAGAACAAGAGCAATAAAGATGAAGTTACTGTGGATTATGAGAATATAGCACAACTGTGTTTCATACATTATCGTGAAATGTAGGAGTCAAGGCGAACATCACATAAATTTCATTTTGACACACTAAGGATACCAGATTGGGTTTGAAAAGCAGTCAGAGGAAGTATAAAGATTCTTCACTAAGTCAAGTGAAAATATAAGGGAGGTAACGTTAGTCAACAGATTGTTCTCCAGGCTTTAAATTGTCACTCAAGTGTCTTTTATTTCGGTCAACCATGCAAATATAAGAAACAGAGTGAGGAGTTAGAATTAAGAGTTAACTTGTTTCGGTTTGGGCATCCAGGCAATATCACAGCCCTCACACATATCAATGATAACTGCTACTGGCCTCATTATTATTGTGTGGCGCATATGTATTTAGTGCCCCCTTGTACCAATGTTTATGTGTTCAAATAAATAATAGTTAACCTTTGGAGTTAAAATTAAGAATGAGGATTACCGTTTCTGTCATGTCACGGTTCAACACATGATATCTTAAATCAGACTAATTCACCCATAAATTGTTATCCTAACCTCGATAGTCGAGTTCTACTCAACGTCACCATCTTGAACACGATATCTCACAAATATTGTAAAATCAAGACTGGAAAAAGAGAGAAAAGGAATTTTCTGACTGTTTTCTTATTCCTTTGAATCACCAATTAATTACTTAATTATGATAACCGACTTTTTATTGACTTTTCAATGAGTTTGACATTTCGCATTTTTCCAAATTACGTTAGCAGATACATTTCAATATATTTCTTACATAAATTGAATTTAGTTAGATGGGTGATATAAGTATCAAGAACAACAATTTCCATCTCATTTTCATTCATCCACTGTTTATTCGCCATTTTTTATTAAAATGATTCGTCCCAACCCGATGTTTCATCTTCTGGTTCTTCTGTCTCTTCTGGATATTCATCGAAGTGTCTGAGATCACTTTGTGACGTTACCTTGTTTAAAGGAGAGAAAAAGTGGAGAAATGGGCAAAATCTTAACATAATGTTATATTAAACAAATATAAACAAGATTATTTAGATGTTGCCATCCTTTGAACAAATCAGCTGTAGACTCAAACAAATTAATTCTGACTAAGTACGATAATGCAAGTAAGAACTGAAGTTTCTATATTTATTCATAGATGTGGACGTATTTAAATATTGCTGATAAACTTCAATTCAGAAAGAAATAAATTTTCCATGCTACTTGGTTTTTTGATAAGTTTCCACGCGAAGCCGTTTAAAACTGAAATAATATCCTCGATTATGTGTCTTAATGAAGTGAAACTCTAAAAATGTGAAATATATGTTAACTAGGTAATCTTATTATCAAAATAAATAATATAAACAATTATTTACCGCAGTGAACTTCAGTCAAAACCTCATGTCATATGAATACTTATTAGTATTTTTATGTACAAGGTAAAACATATTCACTTGATCCCTCTAGGATCTAATTTCTAAGTCAAAAATATTTTAATAGATCACGTGTTGGAACTGAGAAATATATTTCTTTCTCCTAAACAATGATACCGTGGTCTATGTTACTTATTCTGAGAGATATAAGTAATATCTAACCGCATTTGGAAGTGAAATACCTGTCATCAGGGGATTGAATTAAAGAGAACTGAAAGGAAATCGGAGAGAAATCAAAATAGCAATAGAATTAGAGGAATAGTGGAGTATACAAAGGACAGAGCAAAGATGTGCAAATAATGTATTGACTGCATGGTTTTCATGTTTTACAAAAGTACTATGCAGTTTTGAATTAAAAAATGAGTTGGTTTTACGCCCATCAGTTCACATACGCTACAATACTAGCTGTCTGCTCAGACGTAAGTGCATGGAACAGACCTGAAACTTATCACTATATGCTAGGAACTCAAGTGCTCCAAATTTTGAGACAGATCTTAATCTCGACCTGGGACTCGTGCTGCTCAAAACTCATAGTCAAGGTGTGTATGCAGTTCAGAGAGAAAAAATGCTATTCATGTAAATTGAACCCGCTTCGCTCACTGCTGTGTTTGGTAACTTTATACTAATCTGTTAGGGCTGCGTCTGACATCCTGTAGGAATGTGGTTTTCATGCTAGTTTGTCACCGAGTAACAAATAACGTCATGTTATTTATTCGTCATTTAATTCTTTAAAACTTCCTTACCGAAATATTCAAATTTGTTGTTCAGATCTACACATAATGAGGATTGGACGGGGTCACTTAAAGTTTCTGGAGCCAGTGGCACAAGAGTGTTACACACTCAAATATCATCTTTCAAATGAACAAACAGTCAAGTCGACATTCACATTCTGATCTTCAGTCGTTAGAAATGAGATTTGAGAATAATATTGAGCAGATTAAGGTTTGTAAAGTTTTTACAAATCATGTCAGCTAGGCCCCCGAATTTCCTGGTATGGCCGGGGGCGAGGAGAGTTAGCTCTCCATCTCGAAATGCACTCACATGGCCACGCGTATACAGCCACTGCCAGGCAGGTCCTTCTCGTGGCAGGGGTGTTGTTTACGAAATTGAGAGAACGAAACGCAAATGTTCGGTACTTTACCCGGGTTGGTGGATACGGAGGGTCCACCTAGGAGAGTTGGGAAACCCTGATTCCAAATCGATGGTGCACATGAGCTCCAGGATCCTGAAGGAACAAATTGCGTACGAACCAAATGTTGGTCACCGGTTACCATGAGAGTGCATCTCCTAAAGTTGCCCCACTGGCTTGTGGATCAGACTTTTTAGTCGAAGGCTCTGTGTGTGGCCCCCTAAGGAAACCACCTGTTTCGGTCTGGACACACGGGCAGTATCACAGCTAACACACAAATGAACTAGCACGTGTGTGCCCCTTTGTACCGATATTTATGTGTTCACATAAATAAATAAAATGTCAGCTATTCATAATGAACAAAATGGCAATTTAAAAATATTTTGAAATATAATTAACATATGCAGTGTTTAAGCTGGCATTTAAATATGTTAAGAACTGATTCTACTAATTAAAAAAATATGTTGAATCACTTGTCTTTCATATGGTGCTTTTAATACTCGTTTACGTAATCCAACCCAATCGAATCCTTCAAACCATACATGCCTTTCGATTTCGCGTAGTCCTTCTTTTCCTATGCCATATCGTTCAGTCGGATTTTCACTGTGAAAATTAATGACGACGAACAAATGAGATGAATAATATTGTTCATGAGGACATTAAAATAAGCTTATATAAATTATTAGTTGAATAGAGAAATTCTAGTGAATAGAAGAGGTAGTACGCCTAAGTAGAACCTTTGACCTAAGAACAAGATTCAATCCTTCATACTTTATTTGACCCAGGTATAGTTGAGTGTAAAAACGTTCGATGAATGAAGTCACAAATCACAGTCCAGTATCGTTACTATGAGTAGTAGAAAAATTTATGTTTAATTGTTTGACAGCCCAAAATGTGATTTTTGTTTATACTGTTCCTTTCACTATCAGAACTAATATATTTTTACAGTCTTTTTTGTGCGACTATGCTTTCAACTAGAAATCGAAACGAAACCTTGCTGGAGAAACTCTTTGTTGTTCAAACGCATAGCAGCCATTCAGTAACAACTCAGCAATGCCCTAAGTGGGACCATATTTCTACGACCCATGTTAGTAAAACATCCTGTTTTTATCAGAACAGCACAGCAGTTATTGTATTTTAGAGACGACTGACAGGATGAGGAGTCGAATGTGAAACAGCTGACAATAAGCAAACATATCCACTTACGTTTATCCAATTAGGATTGAATTATTTGTGTCATTTGTAAAAAGGATCACACAAGCAGTAAAATAACTATTTCATTAGTGTGTATGATATCATTATGCACTATGATCAGCTTATAAAATCTCTAACTGGATCTACAAACCAATATATACGTACCTAATCAAGTTAGGAGAAATAAAACATTTCCTTACAAACTTTTTGAAACATATATCTATCAATAGATTCAATGAGTGGTTTCCACAAGTTCAACATCAACAGTCAAAGGCGTGTGTGATTGAAAAGTGAAATGATGTTTAATGGTTAAAAAGCAGATTATGTAATAAGTCTCAAGAGGTAGGTATTTTATTGGTGATACTACATCAAAACTAAACAATATGAAGTGTCTTTCGAAAAACGTTTTAAAGCAGAATTTACTGGATGTTTTTACATAGTTTATTTGCACGTATAAAGAACTAATAACATCGAGTAATTTATTAGAAATAAATAAATGAACTTACCGACAAAGTTTTTTAACTAAAGATTGAGCATTTTTTGACATTCTTGTTGGAAAATTAACAGCATCTATTCCTTTTAATATAATTCCATATGTGCGCATTGTATCTGGTGATTCAAATGGTGGTCTGTGTTGGAAAATTGTTATTGAAATAAAGGAATCGATGTTGAATAAAAAGTAAATTGATACTGTAAGTAAAGCGCATAAATCTGCATTTGTAAAATGGGTCACATTTATATATTTCCTATGATCCATTTATATAACTCAATTCACAGTACTTTATATCAATATTATGGGAAAAGTTATATCGACTATGAAATTGATTAATAATTAATAGTACAGCTTAACAATTCCCACTCATATAGTTTATTAAAATAATTATCTGTTCTTAAAATATATTTGGTTTATTGTATAGATGTGTAGTAATACACAAAAACCCTTACATGCCTATATTAGCTACCAGATTCAATAGGTAAGTCAAATGAAACCGCAATCACCTGATGATGGTTATTCGGTGTGAGAAAAACTGAACGATTTTTGTGAACAAATCATTCTTCAACCTGGGAAAAATTCTACCTTTTTATATACATAACTCTGAAAAGAAATAGTGTTGCGTTTTATTAAATATATTGGTTAGTTTTAAGTCTTGAAACACAATCTCAGAAGCAGCTTCAGAAAGAAATAAACTCTATCTTTCACCATTTCAAATGTTCTGAACCATTCAAAAATATCAGGCCGACATTGAGTCGAGAATATAGACTATTGAATAGTCTCAAACTGGAACCAAGTAACTGTTCACTGCTTAATGGTTTACAGTGGTTCTGTAACTAATATCAGTGTGTGATGAAAACCATATTTACTCTCTTTGAAAACTGTCATCACTTTGACTTTCCTGATTATATTCAATAAACTACTATTTATAACTGCTTGGCCACTGAGTATTGACCAATCAGTCACAAGTATATTAGTCCTACAAGAGGTCAGTCACTGCATGAATAACTCATGGTAACTTCGCTGACTTTAAATTTGAGTGACATATTGTTGAGTCCTCCAGGGAGCATTAAATCCCTCAGGGTTACACACACATCTTACTGATGATTGCTAAGTGGCACGAAAGCTAGGTCTAGGGTTTCTTGTCGACAACCATCAAATACTTGACAAAGTTGCCATTTATTAACCGGTGAAGTGATTTATTGCTCAGTTCATTTTGAAATTAATTATACAGTAATATGTTGAGCTTCGTTTTCAGTAACCTGAGGTTCAATGGGGCGGGTTTTCAAACTAACGAGAACATTCTATTTATCAATGCATTGTAACTTCTACCTGTCCATTATCACAACTAATGTAATTTTGTTTGTTCTCAAATAATAATTAAACCCTGTCTATCGGCTTTGTAATAGGACCACTCGGATGAGTCGCTCGACATCATAGGTCATTTTGTCTGATGTTAAGCTGTTGACGAATGTAAATAAAATGTAACTCGGCAGAACATTTATGTTGGTTTTCGATTTGAAATTTCTTCCAGCATGACAAAAATAAAGCTTCCGTTTACGGTTTTGAAGTAGTATCTCCTAAGGCCACTGATACAAACATTATTACTAGACTATTATGTCTTTATAAGAAGTTTTTAGTGATATGAAGTTTAAGCTGATGCAATACACACCTCCATCCACCACATTATAACTAAAAGGGTTAATCTGTAAGGTATTATGATAGCGAAATGGACCATTATAGTGGATTTAATGTGAACTTTGAGAGGTTTCACAAAGTGGTTTCTTGGAATATTTTTTAAAATAACTTATTTATAGTAGGTCATTATGTAAAGAATGAATAATTTTGAGATTTCAGTGTGTTGAGTTACTTTAAAGTAGTTATAGATAGATATTTATACAATAATAGAGAGGATTCATAACAAAATTATATGAACTTATAATGAGGATCCTAGGTGTTACATTGTATGACCAGAATACTAGAAACTAAATTCTTGAATCCGAGAAGAATGTAAATAAATAACTTGATGAATTTATTTGTCATTCATATATGAGGTCAGGCATCAAAGATTGTTTGTTCCATTTCGTTCTGAGTTCAATCGCCTTTAATTATATTTTATTGAGAATCTGATATGTGTTAGTGAGAGAAAAATATGATTGGACAAACAGACACTTGACCTAGTAACTATTAATTATAAAATTTCCTTTAGTGTTATTGATTTATACTCTACACTCACTGAAGGTGACTGCATGTAACTGCGTTGAATAAAGTATTATCTAGTGTTAATCTGTTTCTCTGTTCTTGGTTGTGAATCGTATATCTGATAATAACATGACCAGTCTCATTATCGTATTGACGTATTATCGTAGTGTACCAGAGAGAGAGAGAGAGAGAGAGAGAAATATCTGAAACAATCTGTTATATCAGAATCATAACATAATTATCGATATTATAAGTAGTTGTTGAAACAGTAGGACTTTGGTAACTTCTGATATCATCTATTAACCGTTGACGTCATTTTATAACAATATGTAGAGAGTTCCACAGCTTAGTTTTATTTAGTTGGCTATCATTTTAACAAAAATGACAGTTTTAAACAATCGAAGTTAACGGTGGAAGATCCGATCATTTATCGATTAGACTGTAAATATATTGGAGTAAAATTTATTTCAAAACAAAAGTAAAGAATTCGTGTTTTAATAACATTGATAATAATAATAATAATATTCAAGAACACTTACAAGCCTGTCAGTAGTTCAAATAACAATACACCTAATGACCAATGATCAACAGCAATATCATGACCTTTATTTAATATTACTTCGGGTGCCATATACTCTGGTGTACCACAGAATGTCCATGTTTTAGCTCCATACGGTAACTGTTTAGCAAATCCAAGATCTGTCTGTATGTGTTTATGTGGTTAGTACAGCAAAGTTAGAAAAATAAAGAAACCATTGTAGGAGTAGGAAACACAAAATATAACAAGTTAACCTTTATTAGAGTCGGTTATTCAGTAATGAACATAGGAGTATCTAGTTCGGAAAATTTTCCACTGGTTAATTTTTAAGAAGAAACAAATGAATAACTGTCTCATCTAGGCTTCGGACTACTTTGTGATGCACACATACGAACACCGATTGAATGATTCCAAGAATCTTCTAGTTACAATTCGAGTGCGTCATACTTAGACAACTAAGCAGCAATCTAATGATCCACATCTCCAACTTTGAGCAATCAATAATAAAAGACGACCATCCTATGCCATTGATGATATATTGTCCAGTATAATCAAGTTCTGTTGATTCGACTAGTTTAGATCCACTTTTATTTTCTGACTTGCCTACACACAGAAAATACGAACCATAAAATTTCCGATAGATTTACTAAAAAGTCGTACTAAGCACTAAATACTGGTTTTCACCACATATTGGGCAATTAGTGCACATCACTAAAGGGTGTAAGACAAAATCTTAAACAAGCCATCCACTAATCCATAATTTTTTATATCTTCCTAGATTATATCAGTTTAAAGTAAAAGGTAAATTGTTGCTAAACGATCTCCACAAATTTTCTGACTTACAAACTATGTTTACGTCTCTAAATGGTAGTTAAAAGTTTCAAGACTAAGCAAAATATCTATCCATTAATCTTAATAATATAGTGATTAATCACTTAATCTATAGGGGCAGATCAAAATCTATATTCATACTTACTAGTTTACAATATCCTTGTGTATCCAGCATAATATTTTCCGGTTTTAAATCACGATACACAATATTTTTCCTATGTAAGTAATCCAATGCTTCAACTACACATGCCACATAGAACTGTGTAGCTTGTTCCGTGAAAAAATATCTATTTATACAATATAGAAACATATAGGGAAATCAACACTCAATTATTAAAGTATTAAATGGAAATGAAATACAGAATAATGAATAGGATGAATGAAAATAAATCGTTTAATAATTGAAAGAACTAAACTTATTGTTAAATTGTTGTAATACTGTTATGTAAGATGAAATTGATGTTTATGATAAATATGATACTGTAGACCGAACATGCCTCGACAGTAATGTTATAAGTATGTGTATTAATTTTAAGCAGGATATATTTAAAGTGAAGGCTTATAATTTATGAAATTACAACTTAGTGATCTGGTGAATTATTTAACAGTAGCGCATAATTCTTTGATTATTAAATCTTGTTTGAATTCATAACTGAAAATTACTATTGAACAGTTCCAAATTAAGACGAAATTGTTGTTTAATATCACTTTGGATTTCAATGGTTTTATATCTTATTCCAATCTGTGATAAATGCTATCTATTAATAATACTAGACTATATAAATACATCAAATTAACAACAATGATATTTGTTTAATTAAATGATATTTTAATAATTATAGTAATTGTGAAAATTATTGCGTAATTATAATGTAATTAATTATTTTTGGTAGCGTAGTTGGTCATTTTCTAAAGAACTAGTTTGCGAGACTATAATTAATGGACGAATCAATCAGGTATAAGATATCAAGTCTTAAATTCACTCAGCCATTCGGTTAAATAAGGGTTTGGCATTATAGCTCATGCCAGTTTGTGATGAAAACCCTTTATCTAATTCCTAACCTTAACCATCAACTGTAAATCATAATTTTAATTATCCATAGTGGTTTCTAACCCTCATTTTGTCCTAGTTATTAGGTGGACATTATCAATGTCATTTCGGCGTCGCTCGAAGGTCGTCCATAAATTATAGTCTCACCTTTTTTATCAATCACAAAGTCATAATGTAATCAGATTTGGTTAATTGCTTAATAAATATAAAAGTTTTCAGTACTTATTTTAGTTAGACGGTTCATGAACAATAAATGTGTGAGATGATCATGCAATTTTTTATTTTTACATTATATTATTTACATTATATCTTACTAATGATTCCATTTTAAATGAGAATTATTTATTTTATAATTGAATTCATGAGCCAATTAAAGCTAAACCACCATGGAAAGCCTAGAAGCACTGGACGGCAATTTCGTCCTAGTATGGGACTCTTGAATAGTACGCATCCACTTTCGGTCTCGCGCACGAACACCTAACCTCTAGACCACTGAGTCGGCATCCCATGGTGTTAATGTCTAACTTTAACCAACCCACAAATCTTATTATATTTAAAGACGTCTTAAAGTATGTTACTTTACTATACGAAAAATAAACTAATGAAACCGTATCAATGTACATGTAAGAAAAGATTAACGGATTAAAGGAGAGTGGTAGTAGAATTCTCATGTTAGAAAGTAAGACCATAGTGGAGTGAGTTGTTCGAGTTCATCTTTAGTTCATTGATTTTGAGACTTACTGTAGGTATAAGAAAATTTCAATAATACACAGGAGGTGAAGATGTACTATCTGTGGTAAGTTTCTTTTTAATTTTTAGATAACTGAAATATTAGTCTATTGTAATTGAACCACATATATTAACAAAATGCTTATTATTTCACATATTATGCATCTGCCACTGCCTCTTTTCAACTGCACAAACTAATGCACTTGAACTATTTAGACACAATGAGCACCATCTATAAGAACAGGTGAATTAACAAATATGTGATGAATTTTTTGTAACAATCTTATATCTTAAATGATGTATCTTTTTCTCTAGAAATTTGTCTTTCAGTAATCTAAGCTGCATCTCAGGAGGGTGATTCAGAGTATACTATTGTAGCTGCTAATAAATTGTTATGTTCAACGTTTGCTCAAATTTTTTTGACATTTACTATTCTTTAATGGAGTGTTAAGTACATGGTTATTATGTCCTGTATGTGATCTTGTGTACAATTGCAAACCCATATTTCAATTTGTTGCTTTAGACAAATTATCAGTTCAACATGATATTTTAATTCTGCATGACAAATCATTTTCAATTTAAAGTCTATGAAGATATGAAGCTAGTGAAATTCGTGAAGAAAGCTTCAATAAAAATGTCAAAAGCATTGAATCGTACTGTGTTATAAAACAGAAAATCATTAAATTCATGAAGTTTGCTATGCTCTATGCATCATATAAAGTTACGTGATGCCCATTTACTCAATGGAAATCAATTTGACCAGGTATGCAGTATTAATTAACGAAATTCTTTGTCTAAGTCTGCATTTATCATAAACCTCAGTTGTTAGATTATTTAACTTACTCGTTTTCATTTTATTAAATGTATGAATAGATGGGCTTTTTAGCTCCCTTCTTAATCTTATCCAAATTCTTATTGTTGATGTTATATCTTTTCATATTCTAGTGGAAACTCTCGAAAATGTTACTCTTCAAACTTCTTATAGCAGGAAATCTTAAGCTTGGCGTGAATGAGGCTGTCTGTTTTTTTAACTTTAGTAGTAACCAAAATGTATGAAACGGAAATCAGAAAATAACATAAACAATCACAATCATGAACCTCATGAAAAAATAAATAATGAGTTAGTAGATGGTTTTTCATTTATCAGACCATTCGAAGGAATGCACAACAACAAAATTAACTGAATTCCGTGAATTCATTCCATTTGAAAGTTTCTTAACAGCTGCATTCAGAATAAAGTTATAAAAAGTGATACGGTGAGATTATAATTAATGGACGAATCAATCAGGTATAAGATATCAAGTCTTAAATTCACTCAGCCATTCGGTTAAATAAGGGTTTGGCATTATAGCTCATGCCAGTTTGTGATGAAAACCCTTTATCTAATTCCTAACCTTAACCATCAACTGTAAATCATAATTTTAATTATCCATAGTGGTTTCTAACCCTCATTTTGTCCTAGTTATTAGGTGGACATTATCAATGTCATTTCGGCGTCGCTCGAAGGTCGTCCATAAACTATATTCTCACCAGTAATATATTTAGAACTTAGTAAGTTAAATATTGTTCACAACTGACAAGAACCTCCTTCCTTTATTCCAATTTATCAAGAGAAATGAAAAGTGTGAAAAATGTTTTTATTTTTGTTTAGTAAATTTCGAAATTGGATCATCAAATAAATCGATAATTGGAAATCACGGCAAAACAACTAATCTCATGCAGATATTGAGAAGAAAAAAGCACACGTATGTTTTATAAACAAACCCTTTTGTTCTCCTTCATATTTTGTATAAAGAAGAGAAATGAATACATATAGAATAAAGCATTTTATATGTAAAGTAATTAATATAAATAAAATCATTAAGCTAGTACAACTTTTCGAATATTACCAAAAAGATATAAACAATAGAACAAAATTATTATTATTACATTGTCAATTGACTTATGATATCAACTATTGGAATTACTACAATCCCCACAAAAACCCTTCTGATATGAATCAACATATGCTCACTAGTGACTGGGTTCAAGAGGTATATTCAGGAGTTTTAGTGAGAAGCAGTGACCAATGGAGTCCAACCGGGTCAGTTGTAATATAGTAACTCACTGAAGACAATGATGAATGAGTCGCTCAATTTTGTGGATTAGTTGAAATGAGACATAAACACCGTTGGATCCCAGCCATCTCAGGGGTCTAGAGGTTAAGCGCTTGCGCGCGAGACTGATAGGTCCTGGGTTCAAATCCTGTGAGCTGGGGTCGTGGATGCGCACTGCTGAGGAGTCACACAATATGACGAAACGACCGTCCAGTGCTTCCAGGTTTTCCATGGTGATCTAGCTTCAGTCGACTCGATTTTAACTACTGAAATTACTACAATCTACACAAAACCCCTTCTAATACATTTGTAATCGATATATAGTAACACAAATAAAACTATTAAATAGAAATTTATTTAGTTTAAGGATAATTTTCCAGGTCTTAAGGTAACGATGATACTATTTAGCTATTATTAACAAAATTAAATGTTAGTTGCTTTTAGCTTTAATCAATTCCTAATGGATGAAGAGATTCGGTAATCTAAGGAGTTGACTATATCATCTATTAAAGTAAATGAAAATCATGTTATATCACTCGGAAATTGACTTTAGTTTAAATTGTTCTTTATAAGACCTGAAGGTATAGTTTGATTATGATGAGACTCATTGATGTCCATTTATATTCAATAAATAACTGTCGAATGTTCGTTAGTTTCCAATGATTTGCCATGAAAATTATTTTTAAATTTAAATCAGTTCTAGTGTACAATAATAAACAATGTCTTTAGTTATACAAAATGATAAGGTTAATAAACAGATAATAATGAAACTATATGGTTGTTGCACTATCTCAGTTTTTTTTTACAAATAGAAAATATCATTTAGGTATTAAACTCGGTGGTTTACAGTTAGATCTCGTATGTTCACTGCATAGGATGCCTATTGCATGATAACAAACTTTCTTCCTTTAATTAAAATAGTTCTTTTTTCATGTCATTTTTAAATGACACCTTATTATCCGAATATTCATCACGAGAGTGTCATTAGAAAAATGCTTAAACAAGGAAACATTCATTTTGTATACACTAGAAAAGTAGTTAATGTATCCATACTTGATTATTTGGATTAAATCTAATAGTTTATTTCAAAGTCTAATTATAGTACAGTGAATATAACAGAAATTTGCTTCATTTCAAATCTAACTGAAAAAAGCTACTAAAAACTCTATAAAGTAACTTAGTTTAGACGTTTTGATTAGAAGTTAGGTCGAAATTATAATTTATAAGCGAACCAATCAAATGCAAGATAATAGGTCTTGGATTTTGGAGCGAAATTCACTCATCCATTTGGTTAAGTAGAGTTTTGGCATTATAGCTCATGTCAGTGCGTAATGAAAACTCCAGATCTAATTCTTAACCTTAACCATCAACTGTAAATCATAATTTTGATTCCCCACACTGGTTTATAACCCTCATTTAGCTATAGTAAGTAGATAGATACTCTCAAGGTCACTTCGGCTTCGCTCGAAGGTCGTCAATAAATTATAGTCTCAACGAAGTTAGTTTTTATCACGGTTTAATCTAAGCTGGAGAAAAGATTGAATAATCTCTGGGCGCTGGACGGGTGCCCCTTTTTGTACCAATAGACCTTAGTGATTCACACGAATGACTCAAGTGATTAAACCAAAGATCTTGGAATTTAAAATGGACCACGTTGTCTTCAAGTAGATGAGTCAGAACCCGATGGTTGACTTTTTCACCTTCAACCAACCAACGGTATTGTAGGCTAGCCATCTAATACCATTTATGGTATTTGTTCAAATTCCAATATGATCGAGTTTTATCTGTCACAGCTTCTTAGAAAAATATCCTAAACTTACCTCAGAAAATAACTAGCTAACGGAACATTACTTTTAAGGTAGGAGTTAGTAGTGATGGTTTAATTTTCAATTATTTCTTGTCAGTGGCTAATTGTGATGATGTCATGAAACTAAGGATTTTATAAACTTTTGTTTGATACGAATAAATCTATAGTTACTTAAAGATAAATACGTTAACATACACAATGATTTATAATCTGAAAAACTCAGTAAAATGGAAATATCAGTGTGGACTTCAGAATTATTCTCGAAGAGAAATTTAAACAAAAATATTCCTTGAGAATACTTTTGGCTTATTATTGTTTAATAGTATTCGAAAGTAGAAACCATAGTCATCAGTCATAGTTGTCATCTAGCTAGATCCAATTGGTGAAGCACAAATAGATCATTTTGTTCAGTCAAACGAGAATTCAATAGCAGTATAAGCTGATTAGTTTAGTTCATAATGTTGAATCAGTTTTCACCTATTTCAAAGGTCAGTAATAAGTAATACTCACATTTTGAACTTCTAATACTGAGAATGGACGCTCGTAATTTTGCAGCAATCGGCGCTAACTGTTTATCAGGAAATAACTGTATCATATAAAAAAACAAGATTAATGTATGCTGAAAAGAAATTGAAGTCGCTTGATGGATTTAATTGTCAACTCACTTGTCCTTTAGAAGAGACCAAAGTTCACCACCCAGACATACTTCAAGCAGTAAATAGACATATTTATTATCTCTGAATGTTTTGCATAGTCTGAAAAAGAAGCGACAACAAAATAGAGAGGAAAAAGTAGAAGCCTAAGTGAACAGTATTGTTTTCTTAAGCTGAGAAATCTTTTATGATAAACTAGTCAAATCAGTGAGTTGAAAGATGAGAACCAAACGCCTTTATCATCAAGTTTTTCTTGACTTGAACTTTAAATATAAATAAAAATTATTATGAACATTTTGTTACTCTAGTCATACTATGTATAAGAAAGCAACTTCACTTATTGCGTAACTGAACCATTACTTATTCATTAATACATACTCAAAACTTAATTTTAATCCCTGTTACACCGGTTAATTATCTAATCACTCTATTATTATTACTGTCAATATTATTATTTGTAACTACATTGCCGTCACTTCATATAGATTCTTGACAAATAAAAGTGATTTAGTCTGAAGTAATTTGGTTTAATTACATATTCTCTATCATTTTTCTAAGGTTTTCTATCTCGTCTCGAATTTTCATGACAGATTCATTAATGAAAGTATGTTAAACCTTTTTTCAAGTCATGTAATTCATTGTCGGTATCCTTGAACGACAGTGGTTGTTAATTAGTCGTACAGTATTTTTCATTACCGTACCGATTCACACAGAAACAAAAAATGTCTCTCCCTTCCAATCAATTGCAGTTGCTATTTCAGCGACAACAGCAGCGCTTTAAAAAGAATCAGTTGAATTTATAGACAATTTACGCACACGACTGCCGAATCATCCATGCTTTGGAGATGTGACGGGAGTTAATGAACTAATTTCTAAATTGCGTACAGAGCTGGAAAATGATTGCATAATGAGTGCATGTGCTAGTGTAGGCCTCCATGAATCCTCGACAAGCAGTAATGTAAACGAAACAGTAGCAATCATACATGATCCGCCCATTGGTCCTAGAATGTCCATTTCACAAACATGTCCTGCAGTGGGTTCAAATTCCATTATTTCCGAAACATAATGTACAAACACTGACTTTTGCAGCTCACATAAGGATGATGTCAGATTAAATGCTCATGAAATTGTTGCAGTACCCGCCCACGAAAAAAGCAGAAAATAAAACAAGCAACATAATACAGTTGCACCAAATGAAGCTCATTATGCAGCGACAAAAGTTCCTGATAAATCTACTTATCGGGACTCTCTAGTTGTTTTATCAGATATGAGTTAACTTAATGACTCACAAGTTTTTGATCAAATTTCTTACAAAAATGAAAAAAGAGATGTCGGATGTATCAAATGATGATCAAGAACGCAATGAAATTTTGATAGATGCTGATTATCCTAGTGATTCTTTAAATACTAATGAGATTTTCAATAGATTTGATGAAAATTTTTCAGAAGAATCAAACCCATATCAAGTGTCGTTGATCCTTATCATCTAGTCATTTCTAGTCGACTCTCTATTCAATACTGGCAATATGTTTTAAATAGAGTCACATTGACTGTAACTTGGGGATATGATGACCCAACATTATTTCGTGGGGGAGGAAGAAATATAAAATCAGGATCCAAACTTCGATTCTTCAAAAATAGAAGGGAAGGTGATATGATGGGATGAAAAGTCGAAATTCGATTGATTTACTCATTATGATTTTTACTTCAACATTGCTTCCATTTTGATTTAATATGATGATTATTCAGTATAGTGTTTGTTTTGTTTTCCCGTATGATATTTTATTCTGCATAATATACGATATTCTTGTATTTAATCGACAAGACATATCGGTGGCGACGGAGTTAAAAAAAGAACCAAGGTCAGCTAGTAATTGGACGAAAATCAGTGTAATTATTTCTGACAATCCGTATAGAGATTTATCATCATCGTCGTTGTGTTTTGGGGGTCAATAAACCAGTAACCCCATTAATTGTATACTTTCAATGAGAAGTTAGAGATTAGAATATGCATTCAGTTTTTTCCCTAAATTTTATTGTTTTCACTTTAAAGGGAACAGTACAAACTCTTACAGCTTTTAACATTAATACCAATAATTTTGCTTAGATGAATGACAGAAATTCATTTAGGTTGAATATTGATTTTAAGTCAAAAATTAAAACTTTTTTTAATATTTAATGTTTCTTAACTATTTTCATATAAGCATCCCTCTTGTTTCAGTACTATGGAGATAAATATGTTTTTAAGAATGAAACACAAAACGAATATAAGCAAAGATGGATAGCGGCTAGCAGTGGAATCTAGGACGCGAGTTTCGTCCCATTTGGGACTCGTCAGTTGAATGTACTTACATCTCAGAGTTGATGTTTACTCTAGGACTCGAACTCAGTACCATTCGCTTCAAACGCCATCGCGTTATCCATTCAGCTACTGAGTCCTGATAGCCACTTGTTTTCGCTCCCTGGATTCCACTGATAACCACTACCCATCTCTGTTTATAAAGCTTGTGAATTAAGGTAGTATTGAGGCAATACGGACAGTATGCACATATGCCAATAACAGACTGATCAATTGCAGTCTTAAACTTCAATGGGAAGATTCAAGCAAAACAATACTAAGTGAACAAGATGAATATATTTACAAACAATCGATCAATATAAACGTATAGGATTAGTATCAAGAAGGTATAAAACTATGTCCAATTAGATTGATATTAAAGATATAAAGGTTACACAAAATAAAAAAAATCAACAATTTTACTATTTAATTGTAAGAGATCCCTTATTAATAATCACCATGTGAAAAGATGCTTCACGGTTTAAAAATCAATTTATTTGTACTAATTTTATTTGAGAATGAATTATCAATTATTGTTTTACGAATCACACAAAAGAATACAAAGGTATTTCATTGATAAATTATGTAAATAATCATAATATGTTTATGACGGATGTTGCCATTTTAGTGTTTAACTTAAATTAAAAAAAGGAAATGAATATGCTTGAAGTTTAAATCTCAAGTTTATTTGACCATGAAGATGTTCATTAACTAGACTTGGTATTACGAAAATTGATGCTTACATGATTAAACAACATACTTAAAACTCCAAGAGATCAATGTAAATAGTGTTAGCTTTTGTTGTTAGGCGGCTAAAATATCACATGGATCAATGTTTACAGATTGATGAGCTATTGCTTAACAGTAACATCTTGAAATTAAAAAAATAGCAGTCACATTCGTCACTACCAAAAATGTGACCTTAAATGACCATAAGGCTACTCAGCTAGTTAATGTAATGTTTGCTACCTAAACGTAATTAACCTTTTTGTGCAGTTGTGACCATAAATATCGTGTGCACTACTTGTACGGACAGATTTAAGTAGTATGTATTGAGAACCGAAAGTAGAATTCTTACGAACAGAAGAGAAAAGTGAAGAGAAGGAAAAGTAAAACAGAAAGCAATTAAAATAACAACAGGGATGAAAGGAAAAACTCAAGGAAGATAGGCATATAGTGTATTGAATGTATTGTTTTCATATTTTACATGTTCAGTGTGTGATTTGAAACATCATCTGTGATCAAGTAATCATTCACAAAGTACCACTTAAAATGATTTGAAATCCTCACTTATAATCGCAATTTAAACATTAAAATAAGTAATAATCAACGAGACATGGCTGAGAACAGCATCAATGTTCCAGTCATATTTATGAATTGTATGTTTTATTTTTAGGTTTGATCAATGCCTTTCGTTGTATTGTTGAAGGTGATCAGCATTCAGTAGATAAGATCTACTTGATAAACATATTTATGGAATCTTGAAGAATCACATAATGTTTTAAAGCACTGGAATGTGAATATTTTGGCAGTCTATACTCTTTTTAGTTATATTTAGAAATCAGCAATTCACAACAATCGAAAAAATAATAATTTCTCATTTGACAGACAACCATATAGATTTATGTTGAATTGTTTAGGTGTAAGAATCAGCTAATAAAGTACTAAGTATAAATCATACTTCAAGAAATTGATCATTTAAAGCAAAAATAATATATTTTTAAACAAAGTTTTAAACGCTCTTTTGATATCGATCGTTGTAGAACTGTCGAAGTGATCTTATTCCTCTCGTTATACATGGTAACTCAAGTAAGAATGATAAAATTCACTGAGAAATAATGTCTGTCATAAATAAACTGGTACATAAAATGATAGTCTTTACAGATGCAGTAGTATTTCATCGATGTATTGTCACACATAATTGGATGAACGAAACAAAAAGCCTTTGTTTGAAATTATTTTAAATTCCCTGAAACAAGCTTTAGCCTTCTTCTTCTTCTTCTTCTTCTTCTTCTTCAGTAGTAGACTTTATGTCAGACTATGCCCGAACTGTAATTTTTCAAACTTTTGCAAAGAATTTCACAAATATTACGTAAAACAACAACAATGTTAATGACAATTAACAGAAGGCTTTGGTTTAAAATTGATTTGTTGTTAGTACGTTTTAACAAGATCTATTCGCAATTATGAGGAAACCGTAAACCCCTCTTTTGACTGGAACCAAATATTCCAGTCGGACATGTTATTTCTACAGTAATCGAAATATCTACACTTAATAGTACCCTATTTCATGATGTCTGGTGATCTGTATCGATAGATTTTGAAAAGATGATAGAAAATCGTAAGACCTTTATTCAAACACCATACGATGGAAATACTAACAAGACATTACAGTTTACTGAGGATTTTAACACAAATATGAAAAGTTTCGAGTATCAGGCAAACAAAAAATGTATTCTGTATTAATAAATATCAAATTTTAAAGTGGCAAACACATTTTACTATAGAAACACTCACCTTACAATAAAATCACAATCTGTATGTAACATGATATTACGCTCATTTATTACATGTTCCTCTTGTTTTGTTTCAATAATATGCTGTTTTCTCATCTTTTTTAAAGCATATGTTTTTGTCTTATCACTTCCTATACTTACCTGTAGATTATGCAGAAAATATAAATCAACGAGATTAACAGATGAAAAAAAAGTATGAACAAAAGTTATTTCGAACTTTCGTCTAAATTTGATTGAATAGTTTCACAGTATTTGGGCGCCGATTTGATATGAGGCATTAAAGAGGAAGAACGTATTTGTAAAATCTTAGCGAAAGAATTTGAAGTAAATCGAACGTTTCGCCTGGCAATCTGATCCAAGCTTTTTCGTTTATAATAAATCGTGATAAATCGATTTAGGATTAAAGAGAGATTTATTCATCTGAAATCGTTTAAAGGTGTCCATAAAACTAATTTTGTTTACTGTTCAGCCTGTAAACTTTCTAACACAAAGTAATCTTAAACTACTCATATGATCATTTTAGATGAGTGCAAGTATCGTAGTTTTTGACACTTCAGTACATTGTATGGATGTTTCCAAAGGTGAACAGTTTGTTTACATGATAATAAACAATATAATTCTCTTGTTCACTAAAGGTTTATCACTGAATACTTGTGTTCTGTCTTTTTCATACAGTGTTACAAACTGTCATCTTTATACTAAATACTATGCAGTAACTTAACTAATGGCTGTATTGTACCTTAAGATTTGGACAAAATTTGTTCGTATTCTGAGAATGATGATTTTATGGATCTCAGCTATACATCAAGCTGGACACAACCCAAATATCTCAGTGGTAACATGTCTGATTATGATATTGACTGAAATAGGTACAGACCACAAAGCAATTATTAGTTTCCCCATGATTGTAAATACATCTTGCTGAAACGTATCAACTATAAGGCAATTTCGGACTTGAACTTTGTGCTAATTATGTTCAACCGCTTATGAGTTATTTAAATCAAAACAAATTTCTATTAAACTAGAAAGAAATCACATGCAACTGGAAAATATGTGAAATAAAACGTCAAATAAAAAAGTGGTCTATTAAGTTTGCATAAATTCTCTAAATGCATTTCATATTGCTTACGAGCTCAACACGACCAAAACCTCCAGAACCCAAAGTAGACATAATTTTTAGATCTTGAAATTGTAAGTTTTGAAATTCTGGCTTATATTCTTCAATTCTGAAAGAAGTGTTAAAACAACACAATAGACAGTGCCTTCATTCACTCTGAATAATAATAATAATAACAATTAACCGGAACTTATGATTATATAAATCTTTAGATTCATCAACACAAACTGGGAGTTCAGGGTTGATGGCAGTATTATGTTGGCGATTATGGATATAGATTTTATGATAATTGACATTGGTTGGGAAAGTAATGACGTTGTTCAGGGAGAACTGGCAATCGAATATAATTGGTAGATTTTTGCACGAACTAAGAACTAGATTAGATAGTATAGGTCAGTATACAGAGACTAATTCGTGTAGATTGTGAACGATTGAGAGTTAAAAGTTAAAAGTGGATTGTATTACTTGATTTGCTTCGAAATTTACCATTTTTTCTTAATTATCACATTTAAGAATGCCAATGGTATCTAATTGTAATATGAAGAAAACCGATCTCATCGGCTGTTTGTTATCTTATTGAAATTATCTTAAATTGTCTAGTTTAACTATTTGATAATGATGAGATTGTGTTTTAGTTGGATTTAGATATTAACATAAAGTTCACTACTCTACTTAATATAAACCGAATGATCTCTATTAGTTTGTTATGTTCAAGTAATATGTGCGCAAATACTCAACGACCTTCTGAAAAACTACTGAATGATACTGAAGTATTCCAGTCTTGTAGCTTGAATATGAATATTTTGTAAGGTTCACTTATTGTTCAACAGCAGTTATAGTAGATTAAATATTACAATACAGGGATATAATTTATTTGATATATGAGAGTGAAGTTTTGAGTTGGTTGGTGAATTTAACAGTATATTTATTCAGAAAACTGTTTCAGCAGTACTTTATATACATATATTTATTACTAATATCAAAATGAACTGCCAAAACGACTGGAAAATTTTTGTTTTAAATGAACTGGTTATGATGCTGCCTGATGGCAACCTAATCACTGTCCTCAATTTGTGGACAGGTCTTGATAACTGTTCTGCCTCTTACATATATCTTGAGCTTGTTACCAGTGTATACGGCATGAATAATTAAGGACGATTCCTTGATTTGATTTGTACATCTGGTATATCGTGGTTACTTCACAACTTCAGAGTTTTTTTACAAACATATATGAAGGATAGGAAGAAGAGAGGAATTGCGTGAGTTGGATCACTAAACATTCAGTCACTAAGTTGTAGGTCTGGATCCAGATCCGCTTATTTCCACTTAACTTACAGGATTTCATAATTGCCTTTCTTCTAATGAAGTCTGGCTTAAGGTAAAGTGCACGAAGATGAACTTGGTTACCAAGTTGAAGTGGATTGTAAAAGAATTTATAGCCATTTGTAAAAGCCACTAGATAGAGTAAAATAAATTGACATGTATGAAGAGAGTTATATTCAATGAAATTAATAACTGAACGAAGGAAAACATTTTAAAGTGCCTTTCACCTATATTTAGCTATGAATATTATAGCAATCAAATTGTTCTCGTCCTTAAAACGTAAGAGGATGATGGAGACTAGTTTATATTGCAGATATCAGCTAGAGAATTATTGGAAAGCACTGAGGACTAAACAGATACTTCATCTTAGTGTGGAAATGTTCGACAGCTCGTAGACATGATCCAATATGTAATCGAGCTCAGAATATTAAATCTCTTAGCCACCTCGTTACATTTGTACAGACAACTTTATTCAAGTCACGATATTGAGCGACCAAAATTCGATTGGATTTGTGGGAGACTGTTCTCTACCTGTTTCGTTCAAACTCCAACCAATCATGACTTGTCATTAGAACTTGGAAGTATTCTGAAACCCAAACAACTGTGAAAGTTATTGGGGTGTCCTTATCTTAGAAGAAGTATCAGTTCTGTGCTCTAGATGATGTCAATCCATAAATAAAATCTATCTATAAATTAAAATTTAGTTTAGAGCTTGAACGTTTTCTTCAATTCTGACTGTAAATCAGGAAAAATAAAAGAAGTATTCGTCGTAACCATTATTATGAACAACACAAAACGTTTAATTAATGAATAATAATAGATGCAATGAACTTAAAATTATTCTAAATCATTGTACGTATTTTGTAAATAAATTCGCAATAAGGAACTATGTATATTGATAAGCAAAAATGCACATATGCCAATAAGAGTTTGATCAATTGCAGTGCTAAACACCAATGGGAAGATTCAAGTAAACAATACCAAGTGAATTTATGTATGTTGATGTTATATATTACAAATATATTGATGTATGTGGTAAAATAACTACCGCTCTGAGATCATTAACCAGTATTACAAGTATAACACATATGTGTTGCTTCAACATCTTTCTACAATATCATCTCTTTAATTAAGTTGCTGAGAAACTGTCAAAAGTCAATTCATTTATTATCCTGTGAACTTTATGATTAAAACTTTGTTTAAAATTTCATAAGCTATGAGAAAACGTACGTATTTTCTTGCGGTTTTTCTTGTGAATATCGCCTTTTTAATGCAGCCAAATCAGCAATCAAAAGGCTATATGACCTAAGAATAAAAAGGAATTGATAAACAATTAATTTTATTGACTTTGAGAAAAATACTATTCAGTAAAATGGAAAGTAGTCAAATATTTCACTATCAAAATGCATTACTTCACGAAGCGTTAACCACAGTCGGCTGAAGAAAATGATTTTAGTTGCTATTTTAGAATTTTCAGTCTACAATAACTCAAGCTCAGCACCTTGGGAGATGTGAATCTGTAACTGACGTCTAAGAGCAACATATTATATATTCTTCAGTGTTTATTAAGTTTCTCTACCATTCAGTGCTGAGAGTGGGCCAGAGGGGCAGCCAGAAGAATGAGTCTCGCTCGTGAGTTATTTATTTTCATTAAACCATTTCTCCAAACTTCATAGTAGTTGTATTGTATAAAACAAATGAGCTAGTCAAATTGAGTTAATGTAAACAATTTAAGTTAACTTTCTGATTCAACGACAGAGATCATGAGATGTTAAATCATTTTCATAATAAATAAACCGCAAATTTTTGTGAACATCAAAAAGATGACTGTACCTAGTTTTTTTCAATTCACCTACTCTGCTGAAATCGATGTTGGCTGGTTGTGAATAGTACTTAGTGATTACTATTTCAAAGAAAAGAGCGTAATTTATAAGCATTTTGGAATAGCTTTTCTTATTAGAAATTAATCTTTGACACAACCGATGAATTACAAAGAGTGCTGTTAAAAATAAAAGGTTTCAAAAAATTTTGAGTTGTCTAAAACCGAATAGCACTATATATGTGTTTCTCGTCATTTCTTCCTGACCATTCAGAATCGTGCGACTATGATTCTACACAAGACTGGACCTAAGACCCTCAAATTTTGTGTTGAGTACGACAACGGTATACTGAACCATTTAAAAAATTGTTTATTCTAATAATTCTATATTTTTCGTAGTATTCAAAATCTCATCTATTTGTTCACTCGTCGAATAGAGAAATTAGTCACCCTGAGAAATTTATCTTAACAGACAAACCACTGATTTGTTATTCAATATAATGGATATTAATCTAAACATAGAGTTTGAACAAATTTTATCTTGAAAATCTAATGTATGAGACTTACTCTAAATCCAAAGCTAAACATGTTACCCCTTCATCTCCAGTTGCAATAATATTGGCCGTTCGTAAGTTGTCACTAAATTAAAGAATAAAAATGGAAGTAATCATTTTATGGATTAAGTTAAATGCTAATTAATGAACACTAGGAGTATTTCATATTGAAGTATTGTGTGGTTTTCAGTTGGAATATTGTATGAGAGACCAACTTCTGTTCGAAATGTTATGCAGGAAAACAATGAATGGTTCGCATTTAAGCCGTGTAGCTCAGAGAATGTAACGAAACCTATATTCATATCAACAAAACTTACATACAATGATCTAGAGTTATCATGTTAAAGAATTCGTTTTACTCAGTGCTTTTTGTGCTACAAACCAATGGTAGCTATGTATACAGTAGCGGTAATATTCAATTTATCAAATTAGTAATAATTAGCAAACGATTCATTGTGAGAGAAAAAAAAGTTAGTCACTGCCTTCATGAACATGAAATTACCCAGTTAATGCTTTTTCACCAAACCAATCTCCTCTACCTAGTGTACGTACAAACTGAGGCTCTTTTGTACGATCAATTACTCCATTCTCTGTTGTTGGATAAATGGTCACCTTCACATGACCATCAGCAATTATGTAGAAATTGTCACCTCTTGCACCTTGACGTATTATATATTCATTTGGACGATAGGTAACTTCATTCAGTTGATCTGCTAATTTGGATATTGTACTATCTGGTAAATTACTAAATGTTGGTACACTAAAACAAAAGAAAAAGTTAAGAAATGAAGGTCAATTTAATGAAATTGATTTCGTAGTGGAAAACTGGAACTTGAATAGTTTATACGTAATACGACCTATTCCAAAAGTGGGAGAATAATTTACTATTAAAATGTATTCACATTAAAAATATCAAGTATCTTATATCAAAGAAAACTGAAAAGTACATTTGTAACTAAAGAAAAAGCATTTATTTCCGCATTATAACAACATTGAATAAATTTAGTATTATTTCCATAGTTATAGCAAAGAATGTAATTCGTGCTAGAAATTTTGTCGATAAACCTCAAATATAGAAATCATGAACTATTTCGAAACTGAATGGATGAAAATGTAATAAAACCAAAATTCTACATAGATACATTACACTTTTCTCATTTGAAATATATGGTTTTCGAAAGACATATATTCGGGCTACTAACGGTCCCAAGTCCAGGTAAAAGGAGGAGGGTTGGACATGAAGTAGGCAACCCCATCCTGTAGAAAATAACCTTGCTAAAATGCGCTAACAAGAATAAACATACTAATCCATGTAAACTTTGACCTGGAGGTTGAAGGAAAAATTATGATACCTCATGATGTAAGCCGAGATTCTTCGAAAGTCATGAGGGCGTTGCCTCTTCTAACAAACAGAGAAACCATTAATATAGGTAGATGGAATGTTCGGAAAATGTAGGAAACCGGGAGGACCAATCATATAGTTGAGGAAATGAGGAGATACTAGTTGGTGGTTTTCGGAACCAGTGAAACTCATTGGACCCAAGCTGGATAGAAAAAGTTAGATTCGAATGGATACTTATAAACTCTGGTTACGAATAGGACAATGCTCCGGAGAGATCGGTCATGGCAAAGGAGGAAAGCCAATCACCGAGATTCAAGAACGGAGGAACAGATGGGTAGAATACTTCGAGGAACTTTTGAATAGACCAACTCAACTGAACCCACTGGACATCAAAGCAGCACCTACAGACCTCCCTATTGATGTCACTCCACCAATAATCGAAGAAATCAGGATGACCATCAGAAAAATCAAGAGTGGGATGCCAACAGGACCTAACAATATTTCAGCTGATGTAATGAAGTCAGACATAGAAATAACTGCGAACATGCTTCACACTCTATTCAGGAAGATTTGCGAGGAAGAACAAGTGCCGATGGCCTGGAAAGAATGATACCTCATCAAGATACTTTAGTGGCTTTGGATCTGACTTCAGTAATATCGTATGAATGATTGTTATTGATAATATACATATCGTCAATCCTCGTAGAATATTATCGACTTAACTCGGTCGTACACAGACTGAATCGCGACACTACGGATCGTCGTTGAACAATCAGTTGAATGAAACTCTTCATTATACATCATCTTCCTTGATTATGAGAAAGCATTTGACAATGTGGAGCCTTCTTCGACTCTATGATGTACCTGAGAAGATCGCCAATTTCATACGGAATTCATACGACGGATTACACTGCAAAGTCGTTCATGGAAGACATCTGACAGACGCATTCCATGTAAGGACCGGAATCAGACAAGGCTGTCTACTCTCATACTTTCTCTTTCTTTTAGTGGTTGACTGAATCATGAAAGCCTCGACATCTGAGGGGAAGCACAGAATACAATTGACAGGCTGTATGTGGCTAGATGATTTCGACTTCGCAGATGACCTGGCCCTTCTATCCCATAACACGAGCAAAAGCATGTAAAGACAGCTAGTGTAGCGGCAGTAAGCTTCAACATACACAAAGGAAAAGCCATGATCCCCAAATACAACACAAAGAACAATAACCCAATCACTTTTGGTGGAGAACCTCTGGAAAATGCGCAAACAATCGCGTATCTGAGTAACGTCATCAATGAACGTGGAGATCTGATTCAGACGTAAAGGTGAGGATTGGCAAAGCGATGACAGCATTCCTGCAGTTGGAGAACAACTGTCAATCAACATCAAAGTCACAATCTTTAATACGAACGTCAAGACAGTCCTACTGTATGGATCTGAAACGTGGAGAACTACTACAACAATCATCAAAAAGACACAAGTATTTATAAACAGTTATCTATGCAAGATACTCAATATCCGTTGACCAGATACGAACAGCAACAGCCTACTGGGGGAGAGAACGGACCAGCTTCCAACTGAAGCGGAAATAAGGAAAAGACGTTGGAGATGGATAGGATATACGTTGCGGAAATCACCAAACTGCATCATGAGGCAAACGCTAACTTGGGATCCTGAAGGGAAAAGTAAGAGCGGAAGACCAAAGAACACACTGCACTGGGAATCGGAAGCAGACATGAATAGGGTGAATAGCAAATGGAAAGAATGAGAAAGGATTTCCCAGGACTGAGTTGGATAGAGAGTGCTGTTGAGCGGCCTATGCTCCTCCATGAGGGGTAACAGACGTAAGTATATTCGGAGATATACTCATCATATGTTAAAATTATCCCATAATACTTTGTTCAAAAATTTACACTATATTATGGAAAGGGTCAAGTGATCATACATCAAACACATTCAGTACCGTTTTGTTGTCAGTACTGTATGACTGTATCACATGTTTAGTAAATATACTTCTGTTTTAAAGATAACAGGGTGTGAGCTGGCAAAACGTACAATATAATTTGGTAAATTAATATATACACTTTTAATTAAATTGGCTGAAAATAGTCTTTAATGTTAATTCTAATCTTAGTTTTAGATGTAGTACATTGCTGATAAAAATGGAGCATGCAACTCGACACAGAATGAAATTCGATTTCTCCAAACTGGAAAAGTTTGACCAGCCTTTTGAATACTGATGGGTTGTTCATACCATATTATCAGCTTTTTATTATGAGCGCTGAAATTCATAATCATATAGTAAGTTTCTCCTTTTTAAATAAAACAGGATTAAGGTATATTCTTCTGGTCACCGTATAACCTGAGGATGAATTATCTATCACATGACAGTTTCAAGATAAACATAACCTACTTATAAGTAGCTAATCAAAAAATCCAAAACATTTGTTGTAACATTGGTAGTTTCTACTGTATGCTCATCAACAGATAGAAAATCGGATAAGCATTATGTTCATATATTGACGAGAACAGTAAATTATAAAATCTTGAACTTTATGTCTTATTAACAATATGCTGAGCACAACACAGTAATAAAACAAAAGTAATTTTGATTATCTACTAAAGAAGTTTATAACTGAGGACGATAATAGTATAAATTCAGACAAAAATCTTTGATCATTCTGGAACATGACTTATGAATGTTCCATACAACATCTAGAATAATAAACCTTTATTTTGTATTTCAGAGTAGAAATCTTAAAAAACAAAACATTCTATAGACGATTTGAAGATGATCATGATAACTCTTTGAACTTAAACTGTTGTTACTAAACGTTTTGAGGGGAAACAAAACTTTTCTTGATCCCATAAAAAGGATCAAATTTTTTCATACAGATAATAGGTTCTAAACCATAATCAAAATATCTAACTTATTCTTTTGATAGTGTCTTCTATTAAATTAAGATAATGCAAGCCCTTGACTTAAACTACTAGTCCCGTATCAAATATAAAAAATTCATTTTGATTATTAAGAGATCATACTTATATTCCTATCTGACCATACAACTCTGAATCCCTAACATATGTTGAATTAGTTTCCATCCAAGCAGAGGAAGAAATCAGGGAGAAGCGCTGGAAGTGGATAGGACACACATTGAGGAAAGCGCCCAACTGCATCACAAGACAAGCCCTCACATAGAATTCTCAAGGCCAAAAGAAAAGAGGAAGACCAAAGAACACATTAGACCGAGAAATGGAGACAGACATGAAAAGAATAAATAAAAATTAAATAGAATTAGAAAGGGAGGCTCAGGACAGAGTGGATTTGAGAATGCTGGTCTATGACGGCCTATGCTCCATTGGAAATAACAGGATTAAGTAAGTATAAGTAACATATGTTGAAACGCAGATTGTTCTCATAGACTAAGACAGTATATTTACTATCTGAGTGGTAGATCACATTTGAATACACCAGTAAATTAATTAATGACTGTAAATCTACATCATATTCCTTAAAATTAATTTATCATCATTCGCTAAGTAAATGAGTATGGATGTATGATGTCTTATATGATTGAATACTGTTTTCTTTCTTTTTAAAACAAACAGAATACTTCACAATTCAGGTCAATTAGTGAATAAATCATTGATGCACTTAAACATGTTTAATGATACTTTCAGTATTAAAGTGTTACTAACAAATTAGCAAAATAGAGTTAATATGGTTTTATTTGGATTAGTTGATTACAACTGGAACGACTTCTTAGTAAAAAACGTTTTGTAAAAGATTTGTCCTTAATAATTTAAATAAATAATTAATTTACGGAGAAAAAAATAAGACACACTTTTGAGATAATGAGGAAGATTTGTAGCTCAGGTGGATGATTTTGATAGAGTTTTGTTCTGTGAGCTGGATGGTTTGATCATGAGGCTTTTATCGTTCTTCTGAACGACATCATCAGCCCAAACTTCATGTAGAAACGTTGTTTCAGTGTAATTGGATTGAATGTTCAAATATCAATAGCCGTTCTAGAATCACACATAAAACATTAAGTAGGCTTCCATTTTGAGCTGATAACCGATAAAAAACCGCTTAGTCCAGAAAGCGTTGGACAAATGTTTCGTTCTAGTACAAGACTATTAAATACAACTCATTTCCTAATCTGTACAGAATCAGTTACCACAAAATTCATGGCTTAATTCAACAATCGGGTCAGAATCTAATCTTACATTTGCTAACTATAGTCGAGTAACTTTAAGCTATCCTTTTAGGTAACTTAGTTAACCCTTCTTCAAGTTGTTTATAAGACATAGACACAAATGAAAATCTTATGCTAGTTTATTTACTTAATATGAGCTACGTTACTAATGGCCTTGTGTAAACACCAACAAATAGGCGTCTATGGAATTCAAACGTTGGTTAGTTATGTGAAAACCACCGTTTGTTAGTCTATAGATTTTTCATATTCCACATACCTCTCTTGATAAATATTTCTGCTTTCCAAAGTGTATTTTTCATAGCTTTAAGATCCCATTTTTACAGTGGTGTAATGAATGGTGTATATTACTGGTATTTCTATGAATAAAAATACTCGACACGTTTTACATTGTTTGACAAATGAAAGTCGGTTTTCTAAAGTAATCTGTCCACTGGTACTAATCATCAGTGTTAATGATTCTATTTGAATGTTGATCTATTTATACACCATACATGCTCATATATAATTAATTTTCTAATGAAACCTCCTAAATCAACAGTCAAAGTTTATTGGAGTTGTCAATTTCTAATAGGACTAATGTTATTATTCCAAATTTTTTATATATGCTTAATACAAAACAATTACATACTAATCACTAACCTTTTAAGGAATGTTATGTAATCATTGTGTTTTTGTAAATGATCTCTCATTAATATAGTTTGAAATGATGTTCTGTCAATTGCCCAAAGTGTTCCGTTTGTTATAGCTGGAAATAATAATAGACATTTTCTTTTTAATTATAAGTTCTAGATAACTGATAGTTTAGAAATATAATAGTGATTGTTTTCATATCAATTCTATGAATATTTTGTCGTATCTATTCACTGTCAGTAATTTGTAGTGTTTGTTATCGTTGAAATATAATATTTTACAGTTGTATTGTTCAATGTTTTATTTGATACTAAAAAATTATGTTTCCGAATAGCCACTCTCATTATAAAACATTTTGGATAATAGTCAATTATTAGTAAATCATGAACTTGATAACGAAAGAAGTTCTTTATTTTTCAAGACACAATAACAACGTATTATGAAATTTCAGAACTATGGGACATTCTAAATCCACTTGGTATGGTTTACTTGAATCTACCTAATGATGTTTAGGACTGCAATTGATCAGTTTCTGATTGACAAACACGTGGCTGTCAGTACTCAGTAGCTAAGTGAATAACACAATGGTGTTTGAGGCGAACGGTACTGGGTTCGAGTCCCAGAGTGAACATCAATTGTGTGATGAAGGTACATCCAGCCGACGAGTCCCAAATAGGACCAAACGTGCGTCCTGGACTCCACTGCTAACCACTATCCATCTTTACTTATAAATCAATCTTCCTGAGAAAAGCTATATCGATAGCTATAAATTGGTTATATTGCTTCAATATATGAATGATTTCTATGCATATCTGGCTATAATATCATTTTGATTGCATCATAGTATTCATGAAAGTATCTTATATTTTTTAATTACAAAGAATTATTCCGTAATTCTGCATAATCGTACTGAAAAAATTATTCCTTAATATTATCATTAGTAATATTAATAAATATAAAATGGGTCTAGGTTATTGACTTTTCTAGGAAACAGTTCATTAGAATGAAACGAAAAATAAATAAATAAGTAAAGGAGAAGTGATTAAATGAAATTATGCACTCGAAATGCTTTATTGCATGCATATATACTGAGGTTATGCTTTATACACAAAAATTGTGTGTTGCCACGGTATCTAAATTCTTCTATTTGAACTTATGATTAACAGTTTTTGGTAAGATCTGTTTTTCTAACAGTCAGAATATATACATATCTACTGGTTACTTTCCTCATAGTTCGCAATATTTATTGAGTAATATTCAAAGTGATAGGGTTTTGGTTTACCATGTTCATGTTCATTGAGACTAAATAAAGTGATGTATGAAAATTTTACAACAACCAATTAATACTACTTTTATTAAAAGTAAGATCAAAAAGAAGCTTTCATGGATATTTAAAATGTTGTTTTGTAAAAACGAAAAACAATTTGAATAGTAAATTTATAACTCTATATTACGTCTTTTCCTATTAAGAAATAATCAGTCGAAATAACATTGAAAACTTCAAACAAAGTTGGTAAATATAGGCAAAGATAGATAGCGGTTAGCAGTAGAATCCAGGACTCGGGTTTCATCCTGTTCGGGACTCGTCAGTTAGATTTACATACATCTCAGAGCTGATATTCACTCTGGGACTCGAACCCAGTAGCGTTAGCTACACATAAACCATAGTACAAAAAATATTAATGTGATTAGCGGTGAGTTATCGAATGTTATTTTGAAATTTCAAATTGTTTGTTAGAATAATAATAAATGACTAATGACATCGTTTAAAGAAAAAACAGTTTTACTTAGTGGATGGGTTGACAGATTACATAATACTTAGTGGAAGAATTAAGAAATCATGGTATATGATCTTATACTGACAGTAGTTATGTACAAAGAAAGACGAGTAAAATTCGAAACAGAAGAATAATAGACCATTCCTCAGTCATTTTCATAGGTTCACTATAGTTTCGAATGAGGATGAGATAAGTGATGGAGGTTTTCTTGTGAAAATAATGATTCTGTTCAGTAAGATATCTGGAGATGAAATATGGAGTAAACGTATACGAAAACCACGTGTCAAACAAGATTTATTTTAATTTAACCACTCTATCAAGTACAGTTTTAATACTCATCTTTGAGTCATGTATTTTGCGTAAGGATTATCACTATGGCCTTGTTAAATTAAATGGGACGGGATTCAAAGGTTTGGCCCAGTGGTTGAAATCTTGAAGCTTTAGCTAATAAACCATCGTTCAACTATGCTGTAAAGCAGACTAAATATGACAGATTACTTGAAATGCTTTATCCATGCACACTTAATATTCCATGCCTATCAACTTAGTGATTGTATAAATCTCAATCGGTTGCAATGATGCTTTTCTTAACCGTGGTTAATAGTGTGAAACATCTCTTCGTCAACTGAGTAATGCAGGTTTTATTATAATATAATTTTAAAACCTATATATTAATGTAGAATCACTAAAATGTAAATGAAAGAATGCATTTTCTTGCTAAATTTCCATTTTATTATAGTCTGTGCTTGTTCCAAAGCCGACATTACAATCAATAATATCATGATTGCAACAGGAATTTTGATGGTTATATGTTTACTTTCTTTGTAAGTAATAATATCTTTCCAAATTTCAGAAAGAAGTAGGGTATGAGAATTTCTCCAAAGACAACTAACAGTTTGTTTCGTTGATCAAGAATTCGACTGGTCGTCATCAATACATGTTTCGTCACTGATCATTATCTATTTTAATTAGTTTTTCACAGAATCTGATTTCTAACCTTTAAGGGTTTTATCATTTCTATTATTAGCATATAGGTTAGAGTTTATATGAGAAAACTGTCTAGATTTCCTGAGGTTACTTATTTTTCAATGTTTCAGCATATAAGAAAAACCATGGTTTGATATCAGTAAATGTATTTGGGAACTTTTGATATATTTACATAGTGTCAGTCACAGCTATTGTTTCGATATTAACGTTACTACTAATTAAGTATGTACCTAACAAGTAATAAATGAAACCTAAAAGGGTACTATATTGATTTACAGGAGTATCTCATAAAATAATAACTCAATACTAACACACATAATTCAAATTATTATCATTCAGATAACTGATCAAAGGCTACAATTAAATAAAAAGGATTTTTATTTTCATTATGTGATTAAAGATTAATATACATGTCATTTTAGTGAATTTATCCTGTTGAAGAAAATGTCTTTATTATTGAGTCCATCATACTTTATTAATATAGTATAGTGTGTTATAGTATAGTATAGTCCCATACTGAGACGAAACGGCCATCCAATGCTTCCAGGTTTTCCATGATGATCTAGTTTCAATTGATTCATGACATCAACTATTAAAACTACTATAATATCTACAAAACCCCTCTCTGTTTATAATTATTTTATTGTTCTGGTCAAAATAAAAGTTAATGTACATTTATCTAATAATAATAATAATAATAATAAAATGTTAATGTTTTAAAGATCCCCGTCATATTAAAAGACTAATATTTGAACGAAGAATATTCTTTTCGATAGATTCTCTTCAGGTTCTACAATTCATATATCCAAATTAATAATCCGAAAAATGGTCAGGTTAAGGGCAAAGTACATCGTTTAAGGCATGTGAATTTAGAATTGTGATAAACAAAATACAATAAAATTGTTAATGTTAATACGACTCATATAGAATGTTAACTTGAATCTGCGTCTATGTGAAGTGAAATTTTAAGATCCATGATCAGAATAAATATGGGTGAAATTGGGTGAGAGAGAAATAATAGTGCGATTACAATTCGATCAAATAAGTTAGACATAATACGGAGGGATGAATGCGAAGTGAATGAATGATGTATAGGGGAGATTAATAAGGATGTTTAACCATTAGTAATAATAATAATAACAATAATAATAATAATAATCGAAAGATTTATGAATAAAGATAACAGAGACAATTACAATTGACTACGAAAGGTCATAGTCAAACTAGGTTATTCAATAGTTAAGATTACGATTGATTAATTAGCCTTGATGTACTTTGCCCTTAACCTGGCCATTTTTCGGATTATTAATTTGGATATATGAATTGTAGAACCTGAAGAGAATTTCTCGAAAAGAATATTCTTCTATCAAATGTTAATCTATTGATTTATTATCATATTCGTTTGATGCATAACAAATAATCCTGTTATTATAATTAATTAACACCAATCTCATTCATATGGACAATTTACAGACGAGAGTCATTCGTTTCTATTAACGCATGTTGAAGTTATGTCTGAATACGTTTGAGTATAGACAGAATAAATTTGATTATCATATAAATGGAAATATCACTTTTAGGCACATTGAATATACATGATACTATATGTTACTATATATATAATATTATAATTGCAATTTATTTGTAATATGAATATAAAACTGGATTGCTATATTGGGAAAACATGTCATGTATATTTATATATGCATACACATATACACAAATGGAACAATAAGAGTTACATATTTTATACACATTTAAATACAATAAATGATGACAAGTACTGTAATATCAAGGGCAACATATTTAATTTAATCTTATAATAAATAATAAAATGGGATTTAAGGCAAGTTAAATTACATTCATGAAACTAAGGATTAAGGAATGCATCATTGAACGTAACTTTTATTTAGTTCGGCTACACTTTATTACGTAAATGAAGGATGTATAATGTTGTTTTCTTTTAAAAAATTAAAGATGAAATTGAAAATAATAAAAAAATGACATGTTTCAATGAATAGACTTGTTATGTCCCGATAAGAATAGTGAATGGTAATTCTTGGGATCCATTTATGGACCAATACTATGTGTATATATTTATCGTATAATTGTTGAATAGCTAAACTGTTCATATACGTGTACCTCTTATGATAAGCTTTATTTTAACTTGTGAACTATTATTATACGATTTACCATTCTTGAATTATGCCCTGTCTATTAATTACTACCTCCCACACTCACAGCCACTTTTGGCTTAATCTTGTACAAATGTTGTTTCCTATTTTATGGTATGATGTGGTCTGTCTAGTTGGTATATAAACCCAGCGTGTTTGAAATAAGTGATTCGTATCACAGAGGCTGAGATTGGTGTCCTGGACTTTACAGGCTGGGTTAAGCAGGGAGCAGGACCGATAAGTACTCTAGACTGCTCGCACGGTTTTTATGCGTCATTGGTCCAATCGATAATTCACTGCTCTCTAATTGGAGGTATCACTGCTTTATACATTAACAAGGCACACAGGCCACAAGTTATAACAAAACTAAAAAAATAATCAATAAGTTGTAAAACACTTCCTGATCCATAATTGTTTTGTTTTTCCTCTTAAGAATAATATATCAAATAAGAAGAAACATCTAGAAACTTTACAAGAGTAATAGTCAATTTCTGGTTTGTAAACTACATAAACCTTGTTGATTTAAGAAATCTGGTTGTAATTTCTTAGGTCATTGATACATTGTAGAATAATCTGTTTATGAATTCTATATTTGAGTATTTGCTTAGTTTTGAGTCTGATAAACACATTTTGATAAAGTTGCTTGATTAAACATCCTTCTATATAATGATTACAATGTATTTTTCTTTATTTATCCGTATGTTAGATGTATTACAGTACTGGCTTATGCTAAATCCAGTTTTACTGTTTATCCTGTATTGATTTTGATGACTAGTGCATAAAGGCAAGGTAACTTGTTCTGATGTTAATTCTGCAACATCAGTGACGTTGCTAATTAAAATCGTAGTCAGTTTTTGGGCTAATTTCTTTAGTACTCAAAAATATATCACTGACTTAGAAGGTTCAAAATGTTTTCTCGTCTAATTTCAGGACCAGAACTTATTTTTTAAATAATTCTTTCGAATATGACAGATCATATTAGGGTATCCGTCAATCGTTGATATATTTTATTTAGTTAGGAGGATTTTGTTCAGCACTACTTCATGAGTTAAAATTAAAATATCACATTGAAGCTTGAGATATCTTTATGAGAAGAGAGGATATGGTGTCTTTCACAAATTTTCATTTAGCTGAGACACATAAAGCCGCAGTGTTTGTCAGTGCCTATCTGAATCTCTTAGATGTTGATGGTGTAATCCTGAAAGTTGATGAGAGATGCACAATTGACCCACTAGTCCAGAGAAAGGAAGCTCACCATTATCATCCTCCAGATAGAGAATCTTTGTCACTATTTTAAAGCTATTAGAGCACAAGTTATTCGTAAATTATTTAAGATTTGAGTTATATAACAGTCAAAAATGACTCGCAGATCGTTATTTAAGTGTGAATATCTTTGGTTCAACGAGTAGGATTCATTTTTTGATTGAGATCATGGACCGATTGATGTTAGACCACCTTTGGAAACCTGCAAGGACTGGACGGCCGTTTCGTCCTATCGTGGGACTCCTCAGAAGTGTGCATCCACGATCCCGCTCGCGGGATTCGAACCCAGGGCCTTCGGTCTGTCGCGCGAACGCTGATCTTATTTACTTGTGAACTCAATATGGTGCACATAACTGAGTTGTTTTAACGTAGGGTGTAACAGCGCTCCACTCATTTCTAGTTTTTATTGATCGAACAGATGCAGTTAGTCCATCACAAAAAGTTTTCTTGTAAAGTAAATTTATTCATTCAACAGTAAAACAAGAATGTTTAAGATTCTTCGAAAAATGTAAATATGATAAAATTATGGGTAAGGTTAATATCTTTTCGACATCTCCACTAAAATTAAAACAACATACTTACCCTTAACACTGGCAGTTCGAGTGCAATTATATAAAACAGCTAATTCCCCTAGTACTGTCGGACGATCTAGCACTCTTAATTTTCGACCATCTTTGGAAATTTCTAGTTGTCCCTCTAAGAATTTAAAATGAAAAATATACAACAAAATGACTAGTAAATGAACACTAAATATGCTTGTGACACAATTTTCAAATAAGATCACGTTCAGTGAACAAAAAATGTTAAAGTACTCAATGACAAAGTTTATTTGTGTCTTCAAATATATAATCAGTTTTTTAAAAACTTATAGCCGTGGTAACAAAATGTATCTAGACCTTAAGGCTTTGATGAAAACACTTTTCACCAAGAAATGAGACCAAATGGAGTATCATTGGAAATCAGACAGTGGTTTCAAATCATTTCGTAACCATTGAGATCAGGGCAATCATTTATACACAAAATGTAGTTATGTCGGTCTATGACTCGAGTTGTTTGAAATGATAATTATTGATCGTTTATAACAGTAATTGAATTACGTTGAGTTTAACTTAAGATATGTGTAGTCATTGAGTTTCACAAGCGACGAATTCTAAATAAGACGGCACACTTTATGCTTCTTGTTAAGTTCTTTGGTTATTGTCAGTTTCTCTTCAGATTTATTCTCACACTGTTCAAAACTTCCATAAGTGGTCTATCGTAATTCACGGTTTTTGGCTTTTCTAATGCTTAATTTTTTAAGAAAATACACGTAAAGGTACCTCCATAAATTTATCTGTTCATTTATTGAATAAAACTATTGATCCTAAGAAACATTAAAGGTGATGTAACAACTAATGAAACATGTTCCTGTCCCAGAGTGAACATCAATTGTGTGATGAAGGTACATCCAGCCGACGAGTCCCAAATAGGACCAAACGTGCGTCCTGGACTCCACTGCTAACCACTATCCATCTTTACTTATAAATCAATCTTCCTGAGAAAAGCTATATCGATAGCTATAAATTGGTTATATTGCTTCAATATATAAATGATTTCTATGCATATCTGGCTATAATATCATTTTGATTGCATCATAGTATTCATGAAAGTATCTTATATTTTTTAATTACAAAGAGTTATACCATCGACAACTGTCTTAAAACTACTATGGCACGATTCTTTGTAAAAGGAAGATGCACCATATAAATTGGCATCTCTTGTTGATGTAAGATAAGTTGAAGAGTACTAATCAGCTAGAGATTAGAGCTAAAATCGGTTGACATCTTTTTCCATTTTTATTAGAAAACAAGTTATGTATAAAAGTTATTGATCCTAAGAAACATTAAAAGAGATATACTAACTAATCCATCACATCACCAAGACTTATAACAAAATTGAAAGTAAGATATTAAAACTTAAAAAGTATGAATTCGTTCATCGGACAAAAATCCAGCGATCTACATTTCCAATTTAGTTAATCCTATGTTGTATGTCAACTTTGTTGTGAATGACAGATCACTGGTAAGTCAATTGCACTAAATGATAATTGGCCAAATACAAAAGGTATCCAATAGATAAGAATTAATCTAGTTCTTCAATCTGAACATTTGTCAGCTTCCTGAAGTAAATTAAACTAGTATTATTTTTTTCAAACTGTTGTTCATTTCTATACAACAAAACTATACTTCTATACGAAACAAGATATTTTATATACAATATATAGTTCGATTTCATTCAATTATTAATAGTGACTTTTTGAATATACCTCTATTCACTGATTATTCGATATTTAGTCTTAAGGGCAAATAAGGAAAGAACACTTTGATATTAAATGTAAATTACTAAACCCTATTAAAATATCTCTGTATGTATTACGTAGTTTAACAACATAATAACAGAATACTTCATGTTTATAAAAGGTGAAGAGGAACAACCAGATTAAAGTGTAATATAAAATTTTCTTCAGGTCATGAAATAAAAGATTAGAATACTTTTCTTATAATAAACATCAGTCAATCAAACACAATACTACTAATTCTTTATATGAATCTTATTTTCTATATACATGCGTCTATCTTTCATAAACTGAAATCGATTGAAAGACGAGAGAACATATATGTCTTACCAATAAACACTTTTGTTTGACTAAAAAGCTGTAAAGTACTGCTGTAACATTAAGTTTTTGTGTAAAATATGTTTAGAGAAATCTAGTCATTGATAAAAGCCTAATTAAGTAATATACTACCGTTTTCGGCTATCATTGTATTCCATTACTTTCAAGATGATGTTATCGACCAGTGAAGTTCATGACTAGATCTTCAGAGCTTTTGGTTACGGAAACGAGAAAGTTATAAGGTTTTACTAGTATTTGAATGTACATGGTGAATTGGTTTTTATCGAGATGAACACCTTTGATAGTTTGAGTGCAATCATAAATGGTTTGGAGTATTTTATGTTCACCATACAGTAATATTAACAAGAGAATGAATAGTTAGCAAAGTAATTACTACAACCTAATGATCAAATTGTGTGCAAATAAATCATTTATACAGAATACTGATCGCACCTTGCAAAGCTCATTTAAAAGGTCTTTGACGATAGTTCGAATCTGACAACGAGTACATGTTCTCCTTTTATTGTCTTAATAGTGACGATCAAGCAGTATGAAATTCATTATTAAAACTTGGAGAATAGTGGACGTAAAGTTCAGGAACGTCATCGGCTTTTAAATGGAAAGCAAAACCGTAAAATCCACTAAAACCTGTGAACCTGATTTCTGTATATGATAAAGATATCTACCAAGATTATACCCAGCGAGACAACCTTGGGAACTCTATCAAATTAATGAAATGTCCCTCTTCGAAAGGTTTCTATTTACATTTACGAAATGAAAAGTGGAGTATTTTTGATACCCAGATCGTGGATCTTAACCACTGTAGCTGGTAGGATGCCGCTACTTCAAAATACTTCACAACAATCAATGGGAGAAGATCTATAAACCGATCGCATTTTCTAATGTAGTTAATATCAAAACATTTGTCGGCCTTGTGTCTCCCTGTAGACCACAGCTTTCAACAGTTACTTGTAGAACGTTTTATTTCATACTCTCAATTAGAAGTCAGTTTTTTGTGATGGTAGAGAAAATTTGTAGCTCAGGTGCATTAGTTTGATGGAGTTTTGTTCTCTGAGATGGATGGTTTGGTCGTGGAGCTTTCATCGTTCATCTGAACGACATCCACATAAACTTCAGGTAGAAGTGACGTATTCGAATTTCTGCACATATGGCTCACAGCTTGTCCTGTAGACTTCGATGTTGATTGGTTCTTGTCGACCTTAAACCTGCCATTGTCTACTTCTTTATGTTGGCTGTATCTCCCATTGGTTTGATTTTTGGTCCCATGTTTGTCCATGTGTTTTTCTGATTGGTTGATAAATTGGGTTGATTTCAATGTGCTCGATGATTGCTGATTGACCTGAGTGCCAATCTTCTAAAAATTCTCTGGTGTTTTTAGAATCGCCTCTATCCAAGATCTATAAATTTTTCCAGTCGAATGTGTGTTCACAGTTGTCCATGGCGTTTCACCGGTACTCAGTGTTCATGCATGCGAAGATGAAGAGGGTATCCGCTTTGTCCGATGTAGTGTTTTTAGCAATTGATACAATGACAAAAAAAGGAAAACCGAACATCATCTACAAAATAAACTGTTCCACATAAATCATTTAATTTGTATGAGGGCTGGGATACTGCCTACGTGCTTAAATCAAAGTAGGTGGTTTTCTTAGGGAGCCACACTTCGAGCCTTTGACTTAAAGTTTTAATCCAAACCTGAACTTATAAATGAATTATTTTACTTTTTTGAATGGGAAGGAATATAATCAACTGAAGAGATTGTTCAAAATAAATGGATGCATATTATTTGATTACGAATGATGCCATTGATTAATGAAAGTTTACAAGATAGAAAAACTTCATCAAATATACTGTGAATTCATTAGTCTTTTACATTTATCTCTTTTCAATAAAAATAGTTATGTGCAATGTTATAGATTATCGAATGAACATTCTTGCATTCAATTAAATCATATCTATTCAACTTATAGTTAAAATTAAAGGAAACCCTCCCCTCTTTTAAAATCCTAATAAAATTTTAATGGTTTTAAAGATTTCTTAATTCAGTTAGAATATTGATTTATAGTTTCTAAGTAATTTATTTATAAATAATAAAAAAGAATAAAGATTTAACTGATGTTTTTCTATTAAACAACTTTCTCTTCCTAGTGTATTCTCATTTGGGTTTATTAGAAAATGATGAAGAAAATATATTGCTTTAATATAAATTACAAATGATTTTGTTGTTGTTGGTGTTGTTTAAAGGCTATTTATTCTTAGATGAACTTTAGATATAGATTTCATTTATGTAATTCATTGAATAGTCATGTGTTTTATAATTATGGAAATGTATATAATACAAAAAATAGATGAATGATTTACAATAAGAGTAAATATTTTTGTTCAGATTTAACATTTTGTTATAATGATAGTAAAACCATTTAACTTGATTATATCTTTGCATTCACTAATAATCATCTTTACAATAGATTTCGGATGAGGCTGTAAACTATACAGTCAATACATTCATTGAAGTATGAATTATGTAAGAATTGATCTATATCATAATTTATCTGAATTAGTGGATTATAGGCATTTTAAGAATTATGAGACTTAACGGTCCATGTTGTCTTCTTATGTCAGGTCTTAAAATAGGACAATAATAATTATTGGAAGTTTCAGAGCTAACCGTAGGATAACAGAATGTAAAAAAAAATCAACTTCGAAATAAGTAGATCTTCACTTAAGCTACATATATTAGATTAATTATATTATGATATTTTATCCTAACTACTTGACAGCATTTGAATCATACTTACTTATTTACTCCGCCTGGAGTCCCTCCGAGGGCTGCTGCCGGTCCGAAGCCCGGATAAAGGAGGAGGGTTGGGCATGGGGTTAGCGTCCCTATCCCGTAGAAAACAAACTCGCTAAAAAAACGCTAACCAGAAAAAAATTAGTCGAATCATATGAAATATTATTGATATGGATGAAATCCATGACTGTATCGAATAATTCTTAAAATAGTAATCTAAAGTTTTGTAAAAACTTGTTTAATTAATCAACTGATGATTATTTTCCAAATAACCTGTTGAATAATATTAGAAACAAGTATGTTAATATTGACAGGATAAATTGAATCATTCACCACGGATTGTGTGTATATAATTATGGGTTAATTTGTTTCTTCAAATATAAACCATCTATAATGAGTGCCAAATTTTAATTTTATTTCCCTGACGCATTTCGAAAGGAAATGACAAGAAAATTATTTGAACCACTTAATATCACTCATAGATTTCAACAAATACAATTTATATCGAATATCATTAGTACGCAGACCCATTCATTTTTGCTAAAGTTATTTAAATCTGAACTGTTTTATAAAAATCCAAATAGTTTATTCATGTTGCCGACAGATAGTGTTTCTTCAAGTATCTATCTTTTTTCCACTAATTAGGGAATAATGTTTTTTATTTAAATGTCTAGGTGAAATAAGTAGTTATTTAAGTAGTAAATTTTCATTTCTACTCTTTATTCATTCTAAAATTACATCATCTAAAGACTCATGAGATACTTCGATACACAGGGATATTGTTTCACTTTAATTTGAGACACATTGTCCGTTCTCAATTTGATGGAGAAACATGAATTCAACTTCGTGATTCAAAGGTATTGTGATAGCCTGTGTTTTGATCACATTGGAATTAAAAGATGCGCACTTCTGATGATTTCTAAACAAAGTCCAAACAGATTTCTATTGCTCACTAATTTACAATTATTATGTATTTATATAAACTCACAAATAGTTCTTTCCTGAGATAGTATAATACTGTAAATCTATTTCTATGTATCAGTACCAAGGTTTGATTTGATAATTTCGAATAAACTCAGCATTGAGTAGATTTTTATAAATAAAAATAAAATATTTGTAATATCCAAATGAATAGAAAACTAGATTTTCCAACGTTTCGTGACTCAATGTAAGTCACTTCTTCAGAGAATAAATAACCAAATCAAAAATATTCCGAGTTTAAAACGTCAGAAACGTCAGAATATCTAAAAAGAATTTTTTTCTACTCACTGGGTTATTATAAATATACTTTTTTATTTACTGTGAATCTATTGTTTAGCAAACTAATGACAGTGAAATTGCTTAGCAATAAAATTTAGAAAGAAGGAAGAGGAAAGACATATATGTTCGTTGTTAAACCAATGTATAAAAACTATCTTATTAAAATTGATTTAATGAAAGTATCACAATACTTAACTTCTCTTTTTTCAGAATATTGTTTTCTAGATTATCGACAGCCATATAGGTGCTCATTTTATTTAGAATATCAATAAATTGTATGTTATACCATACTGACGGATAAATGACCATTTTTAATGAAGCTCTCATATTGAGTGAATCATTATATTTGTTCTAAGCTATTAGCTATATGAGTAGGTCAAATCTTAAGTATTGTATTTAATTGATCTATCTTTAAAGTAAATGCCCATTGAAATACAGGTCAACGAAATAAAAAGCTGTTGACACCATAGTCATTCGTACTGTTTACAACTTAACCCGCAATATCTATAGAGGTTAATTTTCACTGAACAGCATAACAATATACTGCTTAATATATATAGCAAATATAACATTATTATACAAATTACAAGTACATTACATAAAAAGACGTTTAACATACCGCCTAATACATACACTAACGAGCCATAATCGCCTTCAGTAATGATCATTTCACCCGCAGTAAACTCTATGCTGTACATGCAATCGACTAACTGACTCAATTGACTTGATGCGATATGATTCATGAAGTCATTTTCCAGAATAGCACCTTTTATTAATTTACGAACACTGTAGAAAAACAAACGAATTTAAAACAAACAATACAACTATTTTAACTCCGGTTGTTAAAAATTCAACAAACATATTTAATTCACTTATTGAAGTCGGTTTTCAGATTGATTTAATATGAAAACAGTTTTCGTTACAGACTGACATTCGTTGTAGAACAACTGAAAACTACAAAACACTGGTTAGCTTCATTTTCATAAAGACCGATTATCAAAAGAACGTATTTTAAAGAATAATCAGCTCGAAAAATAATTATCAGCTTTGATGGTGCTTACAAAATTAGCCATAATATCCAAAGTTCAAGAATTTCGGGTTTTAAGGAAAATCTTTTTATGTGGAATGTAGAAGTGAGAATTTTCGAGTAGTGTAGATAAAAAAAAACCGTTGAGATTAGGAAACCTAATCTGAATGTGGTTAAATTTGGACAAACCGTAACTAACGTTAGTCTAGCCGAAACAAAGTATTGAATGGATTGCGGTTGTGCCTATTTAATACTCAACGAACCCATATTAAGGCAAGATTTCAGGATATGGGTCCATAAATAACTATGTTAAAGTGTATATGAGGATGTAGAGGTCACGACTAAGATCTCTGAGACAACAAAAGTTAGTGATGGGATGTAGATCATTGAAAATGGTTCAGAATCTATCACGACTTGTTGCAGTTTGAAGTGTTATTGTTAATCAAAATGGTCTCAGCCTCACCTTTTTTAATTTAAGTCGAAATATTTCGGTTACTTTCAATTAAAAATTGTACATACTCATTACAATTTCATGTAGCTTATGGGAGTTGAATCAATATTTCATTTAGAAATGACACTACAAAAATTCAGAATAGGGCAATTTGTGTGTTGTTAGGTGTTCAGAATTGGGACAAATCAAGTGCTAAATTATCGTCAACATAAGTCATTCCCCCAACGTATAAGGATTATTTAATTTGACTTTGTGAATATATGTCGAATTATCTACAACTTAAAGAATGTTGGTATTAATTACTACAAAAATTTAACAATTCAGATCTGAACTTAATCATTACCAGAGTAAGGTTTATCTAATTACGAATGGTAACAACTATAATCTTGTTCAGCTTAAACTACTTCAGTAGTTTCAAGTTGTTATTGTGAATGAAGGAGACTAGATATGTACACCATCTTAATGAAAAATAAATATAAATAGATGAAACTGAATACTTACAACTGAAAACCCAAAATATGAAGTTGTTTTACGATGAGTATCCCTTTATCAGAGAAATAAGGGTTTAATTATGTCAAAAGTGAAATAGTTTTCACTAAGGTGATCAGATAATGATTATACTAAATCACTAATTGCTCAAAGTAGAGGGCATGAACAATTGAGTTTCCATTCATTAGTCTAAAAGTATTGCGAATGCCTTGCGTTCTGAAGGTTTGTGGTCCTATTTCATATAATATGATGAAGTCACAAAAAATGAGAAAAATCATCTGCTCATTGTTTGTTTTTCCATTATGGTAAATTAGGCAAGTATATTTAGGAGAAGAAAATTACGGAAAACTGAATGCTTCACATTTATTCATTACATAATCTAACCGATTAAGCTAAACCTAATTCCTTTGTTGATAATTGTAAACTTTTGATCTGAACTGAGATGTTATAAGAACAGTTTTAACATTTTGTTTACTAACGATTATCTTATAATTTTTGAACAGACAACAAAGGAACTGTGAAGAAGATTGAGATGACTGAAAACACCTCTGGCCATGAAGATAACTTACACTAGTTTGAATTTGTTAGGATGTATGAGTTCGCTGAAGAAGTTCCATTGACAGGAATCTAAAGGTATCTTATGGATTGTTTTCAACCACTTGTAATAAGTATGAAAATTATCTCGCCATGACCAAAATAGTGCCGTTAAAAGCTCTTTTAAGCAACTGTATAACTGTATGGTCAAAACTGTACAAATTATTCTACTGTTAGTGATGTGCATACCAAATAATTTGTCTTAGTAAATTGGGTTGGACATATTTTATGTAATCTAAGTATTAATTTTCACTTATATTCTCATCTGTTTTTTATTTCTCCCCATACTTACAAGTTAAATGAATCTACTACTTAAACATCCTCGAAAAGTAATGTTAGTCTTTATTACATTAATTATATTATCCAATTAACAATGTTGTGTAAATCGATCAATAAGTATATTAATTACCTCTCTATAAATATCCGTTAAATAACTGAGTGTTCATTGAAATTGTTGTCGGCTGCGTCAGACATTTAATGACATTGGATTCATTTAGTATTGTTCCTTTGGATCTTCCCATTGATGCTTACGATTTAACATCAGTGAGAGGATTCAGGTAAACAATACTAAGTGAATTTAAGCTTCACTCCATTAGACAAGCAAGTGGCTATTAGGATTAAGTAGCCAAATAGATAACACGATGGTGTTTGAAGTGAACAGTACTAGGTTCAAGTCCCAGGGTGAACGCCAACTCTAATATGCAGGTACATCCAGCAGACGGAACGCGCGTCCTGGATTTCACTGCTAGCCACTATCCATCTTTGATTAAATGACACTGTTGAATAGCATTTCACAACTTCTATAACACTAATATTTATAAGTTTTTGAAAAAAATAAATTACCTCTTATTATCAGAAAAAGCAGTTACTTAAAACATTTCTAAATTTAAGTAAATGTTTATCGATACTTCCCTCTTTACAAACAGAAATCTTTGTGTTTATCTCAATAAAAAAAATCACTTGACAATTTTGATGACAAAAGATTATTTACTATGGGATGTATACCTCTTGATCAATATAGTCGTTTTGATTTATCACATGATTAATTACACTTTCAAATAGCTAGTGACATATTGTTTGTTTGCTTCGATTAATACACATATTAAATGGTGGTATAAAAGCTAACCCATTATATTCTGTCAGGGCATTATTTGTGAATATCAAACTACTTTATTAAGTTGCTGGCATCACAAACCTCAAACATCAGTGCAAATACCAAGTATGGGTTCGTTGTATTAAGAAAAGAGCTTATTACTAGTGTTATGAATTTAGGGGACATTTTGATATTATTCATTAAATTCGATTCAAAAGCACGAGTACGAAAATAAACCTTTGATTTAGGATACATGAATGTTTTATTTCACTGTATATGTTTTTCAACGCTAACTGATATTAGATGGAAAATCTGAGAAATCCAGGACATAAAGTACTCACTGACTTACTATAGATTCTCTAGATGATATTTGCAACTCGAATAAACCCTTATATAGCTGTGTATGCATTATATTAAACCTTAATGAATATAAAAAAGTGTTATGTCCTATGTTTTGTAACTGAATATTTTATACTATTATGATGAATATGACAGAATTCATGTATTATTTTATCTTTCTTTTTTCAGCATAAGACAATAAACATATGATAATTAAACAAGTTTATAGATATGTGTATTCACGTTTTACATTCTTTTCTTATTTAATGTAACATCTTTTGTTCATTGTTCATAGTATTGATTATTGAGTAATATTTAGTTATGTAATCTGATATTATTAATACATATCGTTAGATACAAATAATTAAGTAAATTAAAATAACATGTGGTGTTTATTGTAAAACTAGTAAATGGTCTCATTTTCATCGAAATTGAATATATAATCCGTGTGTATGTGATATCATCAAAATTTATATATATATACCATATTTTGTTTAAATGAACACACTGCAAACTTTGATGAAAGTGCTTTCATCCTGAATTTTGTTACCACGGTGATTAGTCCAAAGACTTTAACAGCTTAGATAGATACCAAATAATAAAGAAATTCATTCACTTTGTAAATTGAACTGACACATATAACCAATTAACAACAATTAACATTCATGTAACCTCAAATTAAGTAAGTCAACTGGCAGCTTAATCATTTGTGGTGTTAAGTAGTGTGGACCTAAATCTCAGAAGGCTCATTAATACCATCGGAACTGTCAGCAGCTAATGATCTGAAACAGATGCATAAGGGTTGCCTGTTAATTACCAGCACGCAAATGTCAACACAAACTTAGATATCTTATTATGGTCACGTTGTTGAGGTGATTAAACGAATTTCACCAGGACGAAAGACAATAATATACGACAATCGGTAATCAGTTTCTTGTGTTTGGTGGTTCAACCTTACACTTATTAACTCATACATCATACATATGTACTTATGATTTCGAAGTGGAATGTGTTTCACTCGATGATGAATATATTTATATTGGAAAAAGTGGCATAAACAATCTTGGAAGTGGGACATTATATACCTGTTCGTATTCATATCGCTTTAGGTGGCATTAATTAACAAAATAAATGAACGACAGGTGAAGATTATCCTGTAGAAGATAGAAAATTAAATCGTAGGAAGGAATACGACCAGTTCAAACGAATAGGCTTGGAAAATGAGTACCACGAAACAATATGGTTAAAAATTTTAAAAATAAGCAATATTTGTCAGTACCATTGAGGTCTATCCATTCCTTTTAAAGTATTCCATCATAGATTACTATTGTTTTGCGAACCCTAATCACGAAGACTATCAGTTATCAGAGTGCATTTTAATACCAATTGATTTCATTTACTAATACCTTCTAATATTTTTCTAGCATGCAATTCATTGTACATTCGTTCATGTGAATAAAAGTTTTAAAATCCAACTATTGACTTGCTGTAAGTACTGAACTCTGTATTGAGTGAATTGGCGGTTATTGTAATAGACTCTTGATAAGCAGAGTAATATTTCTTAGTTACTATTTATTTTTTAAAATTTTATTTCGTTACAAATTAACACCAGCCAACAAACTAAGTAGATTAAACACCCATGTTGAACTAGAAAAAGACTATTCGTACCTACACTACCTACATAAATCAAGCATAGAACCCAAGTGTGCCGATTAATTTTAAGCAGCCTAGTTGAAATAGAATGATCCATATTTTCAATTGTTATCAATTTGTGATAAAAGCCAACTTTAATATGAACTATTCCCCATAAATTCACCTCGTATTGTTTACTTGAATCTTCCCATTGATCTTTAGGACTGCAGTTCGTCAGTCTCTTATTGGCATATGTGCATACTGCGCGTATTGCCTCAATATTACCTTAATTCACAAGCATTATAAGCAATCATGAATAGTGACTAGCAATGAAATCCAGGATGCGCGTTTCGTCCTATTTAAGACTCGTCAGATAGATACACCTGCATCTCAGAGTTGATGTTCATTCCATAAATCTTTCAATCAAACGATGATCCCGTGTTTAGTAGTAACAATATATGAGATAATTTTTATCAGTTTCAGTTAAAATAATAAGTGTGCATATACTGAGAGGTCTTGTAGTACATAAAAAAGGAGCATCTATTTATTATTTCATAATTTTCAATGATTTAATTGTTGAGATCATGAGTTAATTAAAGTTAGATCACCATAGAAAACCTAAAAGCACTGGACAACTGTTTCATCCTAAATAATGGGACTTTACGAAACCCTTTCTGATACTAATAATTTAATAGTTTATTCCATATGAAAATATAATAAAAATCAACTTGAATAATTAACCAATGAAATTAATTTATATTATTATTTATAATTTTATTTTTATTATAAATCAATAAATTGGACAAATGGTGTATGTTTTCATGAAATCATTAATGTTTTTGCAACAAAATAATAATAATAATAATAATAATAATAATTTAGTGATTTATTACTTATTGATTATAGATTGTGTACAAAAGTTTATTAAAACTAAAATGAAACTATTAACGATTAAGTTTTGACTGTTATTTGAAATTTCTCTCTTTTGAGAGAGAGAGAGAGAGAGAGAGCGAGAGAGCGAGAGGGAGAGAGAAATAAATAAACAAATAAATAAATAAACAAGCCATTCAAATCAGAATGGTAGTCAATTTATTATGTCAAATTAAAATATTGTTTATTTATTATTAGTAACATTGACTTTTTCTATTGCTTTACGAATAATGATTCACGTGATAAGTAAATAAAATATAAAACTAGTCCTTATTTCTTGTTACATAACCATTTACATGGTGTATTCATATTTGTGATAATGGTGATATTCATTTAAATGTATCTTACAATCTAACAATAGTCAGCTGATACCTTATTTTCATTTATGATAAATGGCACATATAGACATGTCAATCATATTGATCTTTTGGACCCAATATGACCTCAGTCTGATTGAAAAAAGTCTGATATGTTACTTTGCGTTTCCAATTATTTCTGATATTTTATAATAACACAGTGTTAACGATACTAAAGGTCAGATAGTTGTTATTCACAAATGGAAGAAATGGCAATTCAATACGTGTTATTATCTTAAAGCATCCGTCTCAGTAACTTGATAACACTTAATACACAGAATCTTATCAACGCCCGTAACACACATCTTTTGGTAATATAAAGAATGAGTGGTTAGATAAACGAATCTATTTTCTAAATTAATTCTAACTAGATAAAATTTGAATCAGTTCATACAAATAGACCATTTTAATACATCTTAAAAAATGTGTTACAAGCAGAATTGCATGGCAATCGGCAGTGGAATCCGGGACGCATGTTTCTTCCGATTCAGAAGTTGTCAGATGGATCTGTCTGCATCTCATATTTGATATTCACTACGACACTCTAACCCACAACTATTCGCTTCAAACGCCATCATGTTATTCATTTAGTTGCTTAGTTCAAACAGCCACCAGCTTGTTCAATGAGGTGAAGTTTGATTAATTTGTGCTGGTTGTTTAAATCTTCTCACTGGTGTTTATCACTGCAATTGATTAATATCTTATTGGCTTATATGCATCCTGAGTGGACTGTCTCTATATTGCCGTCAAGTCACAAGCAACCATCGGACGATTCCTAAATAGTATCACGCGCACACCCTCGACTCCAATGCTAGCCGAATCAAGGTCAAAAAAAACTATTTTCGGTTGTGATGGCTAGTAACGAATGGCGTTTCTACACATTCGTTACTCCACTGAAATCGGAAATGTGAACCACTGAGTGTTAGATTAGTGGTATGAAAATATGTAGGTCCTGACGACTCTTTGTGAAAAGGCCTTGGCCTACAACTACTGATGAGCTCCATACACAGGTTTAAACTTTTATTTATAATCCATTACCATGAATGATTTTCTAGCTTACATCAGTTCTTGATGTAGATTTCCTTCAATATTCTTCATTAAATATTAGTCTATGATAAAATCATATCTGTAATATCATAAACCTCTTAGTCAGCTAGTTGGAAGATTAAACTTTTGCTCAAACAAATGCATTACTTTAGCTCTTTTTTGAATGGAAAACTCAAACAAGCTACTTCGTTAAATAATGTGAAATCAATTGAAAATTTGAATGTAAAGGTAAATTGTTTTGATAGATCAAAGTGCCCGGTAACTATTGTATTCTATACATTCACTCTGCCAGTAGGATAGCAGAATGAGTTCTAAGAAATTTTGTGTATTTACCAACTAATTTCTCAAGAAAGATAATGAGTTTACTGTAACGTAAATAAAACTCTTTCATCAAAATTTGTTTCTTTCTTTGCTAAGTTAGATTACTGATATTCTTACTGAAATGTATGTATTAGAAAAATATCTCATGTTTCGGAATTTATTCGGATCACAAAGTGTTTGATAAAAGTTGGCAATTCATCGTGACTATTTCCAATGTTTGTTTTTCTGATGATGGTAATTCAGATAGGTAGTTGTTGATCAGTGGTTAAAGTGTTCTTTTGTTCTTATCAACTTAATGAAAGTGTATTTATCAGACTGCTAAAATATATTCATCAATGCCATCTAGTTGGAAACGGTGTGTAGATTGTGCCGGTTAATCGTTTGCAACAAAACACCAAGAATCTCCCGATAAAATAAATGTTTCAATCTGGCTAATTCTATAGGATTATTTTTCAACTAAACTTCTACTTTTTCACATGTCCTTGTTAAAGTAGTGTATTTTAAACTAGAAGAGGATAAGACCAGTATTTTCAACTTTTATTTATTAGGTTGTTATGTAAAAGCCTGTTTAACATTATTTATGATTATTCGACTTGATTAGAATGAACTTTGAAGGTTCAACAGTATAATTACTATCATTCATACAGTCCACAAATGTACCTTCTTGAAATAACACAACTTCCATTAAACAGTAAAATTTCGTCTGTTAATTAGCGTCTTCATTATTGCATAATAATTGACATGAATCGACAAATTTGCGTCAGTAATACTAACGTGTTATTATGGCCTCAAAATAGAAAACAAATTATTTGAATCTTTTCAGCATAATTTCCAGGTAAATTGCTTGTTAAAATAAAAGAGCTGAATTTGTCCATTTTTCTCTAATATTTTAAATGTTATCGTTTCTATTTGGAACATCAGTAAATTACGTCTACTTTTGTATGACTTTTTAGTTTTAGAATAGGAGGTAGATAGGCATGTGTGTATAGGATAATAAAAGTAGTTATATTCTGATTAAATTGTCATCATAATATTAGATTATCTGTAAACTATCAGATGAACATTTGGCTCTAGTTTTAGATTTCGTCCCAGTAAACATTCCAAAGATCAAAAAAGAAATTATAAGTCATATCAAGTTAAAAATCCATACCAAACTGCTTAATAGTAAATTAAATTGATCTAAAACAAATCACTAACATGGATACTGTTTTGCAAAAAATACATTGTATATTTAATTTTTAAACTTACTCCTCTGACTTGGGATATGATTTAAGTTCTTTCGATTGAATTTCATCTTCATTTTGAGGTTCAGCTGATATACCGATACCACGTTTTCTCGTTTGTACAGTTGGATCATGTACATGTGATTGATCATTGCCACCAAATCCAAACACAACATCATTCAAGCCCAATTGTCGTTCTCTTGATTGTTGTGGTTGTATTTGACCTTTAATCACTGTTACTGGTGTCGATAAAGATGGTGACTGATTAAATACACTTTGATATTTATCCAATAAACCTGATAATTCTGATATTCTTTTATTCTTATCAACTAAATCTTCTTGAAGTTGAATTATTAAAGCTTGTTGTTGTTGAATCTCATTTTGACATTTTGTATGCATTTTAAAACAATCACAGTACTTTAAAATCTATGACGCAATGTGATGTGAATGTGTTTGCGTGTGTGTGTGTGTGTGTGTTTATGTTTGTGTTGATTTGAACGAGTTATGGACAATTTAATTTTTTTATAATAAATGATGAAGAAGATCGAAATGGGGCCGAGATCATTTCACGTATGAATAAGAATAACAAATAAGAAACATAGAAAATAAAAAAAAATTCAGTAAACACAATCATTTTACATTTAGGTACTGTACTATAATAAAAACGATTATGTAACTTACATCAAGGTGAGATATTTTTTCGGAGATCAATTTAAGAGACTGTATGATGATTACAATGATGAATTTATATGTATGAATAACAGGTAGTAATTTTATTATATTATTAGTGTTTTCTCTCTCTCACGGATATATATATATATATATACTTTGTTAATTATGTACCATACAAGTTATCATTCTACGCACAGTGTATTATACTATTGGTTAAACAATAGTTTCTCTCATGTACATGCATGTGTGCATTTGCGCATGTATGGATGAATTCGTTTCAGTTAAAGGTATAATGCATGGTAATTGTATAATCATGAAATAGTGAAATATTCCATTATTCATTATCCAAGTTGATGTACATATATATATGCATAAACATATAATGAAGACGTTGTTTATTGGGTGTTTGTTACATCAAGTAAGGTGAATGAAAATATTATATAATGAATATCGTTTATATATCACACTAAATGATTACTGTTATTACTATCATTATTAATTCATAAATATTATAGATAGATTGTTTTCACGTACGTACGAGCACATTCTTATATTCTGTAGCACAATTTGTAGAAAAATGTTTTCATAAAAATCCTCTAACGTTTGCCGATTATTTTCCTGATGTCACTATGGTAAAAAAATTTAAGAAAAAGTAAAAATAAAACTGACAACAGAATTGATAATTACTCGTGGCTTTAATTTCAATCATTCTATGATTGGACTTCACTTAACGTTCTGTTGTACAGATATTCATATGTACGAATAAATGAATAAATAAAAATTATATTTACATAATATATATCTATGTATGTACGTAAATACTTGTGTGTTTTCTTTTCCATGGATTCTTTTTTGTCTAAAGCCACAATACTAATTATTTACCACATACTTTTATTGTAAGAGTATGATTGGCACATTTCTATTACAGTACAATCAGTGAATAGACAGATCGTGTTGGGAATTAGATTGTATCAACCAATAAGAAAAAATTTGTCACATAAATCACAGTCATGTTATGGGTCAAAAACAAATTTATCACATTGAATTATACATGATTTTAAATGAAGGAAGAATATCAAGAGTTACAAGAAAAATGGCTTTTCATTTTATTTCAAAATCTCACTAAATGACTGATGGTTTAACCTATAGCTTACTTACTTACGCTTACTGCTCGTGGAGGAGCGTAGGCCGCCCACCAGCACTCGCCATCCAACCCTATCATAGGTAATCCTTTCCAGCTCTTTCCAGTTTTTATTCATTCTTTTCATATCTGATTCTATTTCCCGACGTAATATGTTCTTCGGTCTTCCTCTTTTCCGCTTCCCTTCAGGATTCCAAGTTAGGGCTTGCCTTGTGATGCAGTTTGATGATTTGCGTAATGTATGTCCTATCCATTTCCATAGTCTTCCTAATTTCTTCAGCTGGAAGCGGGTTTGTTCTCTCCACAGAAGGCTGTTGCTGATGGTATCCGGCCAATGGATGTTGAGTATCTTGCTCAGACAACTATTTATAAATACTTGTACCTTCATGATGGTGGTTGTAGTAGTTTTCCAAGTTTCAGCTCCGTACAGTAGAACTGCCTTGATGTTAGTATTGAAGATACTCACTTTGATATTGGTTGAGAGTTGTTTTGAGTTCCATATGTTCTTCAATTGTAGGAATGCTGGCGTTGCTTTGTCAATCCTCGCCTTTACGTATGCAACTGATCCTCCTTGTTCAACAATGATGCTTCCGAGGTATGTGAAGGATTCTACATCTTCCAGAGTTTCTTGAGCAATACAGGTTTCGAGATCCATGATTGAAAGATCATGAAATGACTCTTATTTTAACCTACCTAACTAACTTACTCGCTATCGACTGAAGATGACCTAGAGTTGACGTAGTTTCAGTCAATATTAACCTTCTGATAGTAAAAGGACCGACATGACAGAAACAAAAAGAACTAATGCAAGAGGTCAACATCACGGTTGATTACTATGAAAAGTTATTAGTATAGAATTGGTTACCATACATCAGATTCTAATATATTCAATTTAGATATCATTATACTGGCAATGACAACAACTGTAGCATTATCAATAACAATAAATGAAATTCTAAGATGATGATTCCAAGAAGAAAATAACTATCAGTATACATTTTATTAATGAATCTATCGTTAGGCTTCAGCTTTTACAGTTAACACTTAAAATCTCTTTTTTCAAACTATTTAGAGTACAATAATCACATTTCATGGTGATTTCAAGTTAATTCACTGGTCATATATTTACCATTCAACACGTACATGCAGTGTTCATCATTGTTCACTTGTGACTATGACAGAAAGATGATTAACTATTTCTATGACATTTTAAATATGACAGTTTTAAACAAAAATTGTACATGCATTATGCGACTATTTATAGGAATTTCATAAAAACTAAATCTCTTAAATTCACAGCTTTATGAAGACAAACGTAATCCTTGATAATAAACCATAGAAAAAGCATTACAAAGTCAATAGTCAATCCTTCATATTGTTGCACAATAAGAATGTATAACTGTTATCCATTTGTTTCATTGGTAATATTTCTCCAATTGCTATTAATTCGGGAAAGATGGAAATTATCATTATCAGAATGTAACAAGTGAAATATAATGAATTCATGTAACTACATATGAAAGACTCATATTATTTTTTCCTGGGTTCAAACCCCGCGGGGTGGATGTGTGCTGCTGAGGAATCCCATACTAGGATGAAACGGCTGTCCAGTGCTTCCAGGTTTTCCGTGGTGGTCTAGCTTCAATTAGCTCATGATCTCAACTAATGAAATTACTATAATATCCACAAAACCCCTTCTGATATATATTATTCACCAAAAATTTTAATTTTTCTTTAATTTACATTTGACTCACCTAATGTTTAGTGATATTATGAATTAACCTAATTTAACACTAATCTACTTAAGAGGTTTTAAACATAATAAATTAAGTTTAATGTTAATTTTTCAGTAATTCTATATTAAGTAAAATTGTTTACACGTCATCGTTTCACTGATGATACTTGAGGAGTATACAGTGTATTTTTACATGTGATTGTTAAAATAAAACTTATTCATGTAAAATTTATGTACCTGTGTTAAAAAGTTATTGAGATGTTTAGTATTTCAATAATTGATATCGTGAGTCAATTGGAGCTAGACCACTACGGAAAACCTGGAAGTACTGAACGGACATTTCATCCTAGTATGGGACACCTCAGTAGTGCGGATCTACGATCCCGCTCCGCGAGCGGACACTTAACCTTTAGACCACTGAGCCGGCATCTAACGGTGTTCATGTCTAACGTCAGCACAATATATTTTTGAAAAAATATTTTTTAAGGGTTTGTTATACAAACAATCGCTAGTTTACATCAATGCTGAACAACAGATAGCTTTTTATATTTATTTCCAGGTTGATCGTAATATCATGGTAGTAGCTCATAATAGATTGTGTTTAGGATTTACAGATCCTGAAGCTAACACAATACAACTTGGTCATTCATTAAAGATCCAGTGATTTACATTTTTAAATTTAGGCTATGTATAAAATAGTGTGATCTTTAATCAGTATTACTAATGAATTACAATCTTACTTTCTACGGGGTTAACTTCGAACTTATTGAATTTTGACTACAACTTACGAAAATTCATTTCAAGGATTATTATTTCAAAAAATAATATTTACTAACTTAGTTGTTGTTTCTGTGTCGAATCAAATACTAATTGTAATGCAACTAATAACGCTACGCATTTTCCTTGTTTTGATGGGCTTATATTGATGCTAAAATAGATGCTCTTGAATGTCTTCAAAGTTGCAAACGTGTTATTCTGACGTGTATCAGAGGAACAAAAACTTTACCAAAAGCTTCCTATTACTTCTAATACTCATTACATAGAACTTTTAGTAGGGGATCTCCAGGTTAGTTTGTCGATACAGGAAATAAGTACTCAAGGAATTAGGAAATCAGTTTTACCATATTTTTAAAACACTACATTATTGCAAACGTTCATCATGCCAAGTTTCTAAGTATGGAAATTTAGGCAAACAAAACTCCCGAATTTATTTGTTACAGATAGTTATTTGACTATTATCTGTAAATCAAACTGACATGGACTGATTAAACATTGAAGAGATTTTTGAGATTTGTTATTAAATAATACCGCATACCCAAAACTTTGATCTCATACAATATTCAGGTTAGTCTTCAGTCAGTAAGCCTATCGACAAAGATTCATTTTATCTGTGTATAAGGAAACTTTTATTTATTAACATGATCAGTGATTAAACCAACAAAACAGTCAATCAGAATGGAAAGATACTTGAAGACGGCAAAGTTTTCGAATGCAATCCATCAAAAACTAGGTCATTAAAATGGATTGACTCAACGTTTTCCTAAAATATTTTAGCAAATAAAATAATGATATATTTATGATAAATTAATGAGTAGAAATGAGAACGTATGAACTTTCGTGACCACCTATTCAGAGTAAGTAAATAAATAATCCGACTAAATCAACACATAATGATTTAGTTATTCATTTACTCTGAAGAGCTGGCTTAGAGTTAATCACGAAACGTCAGAAATTCTGATTTCTACTCATTGGAAGATCACAAATATATCACTTTTTTTACTTTCATTCTATCTAATACTTATTTTACCTAGAATTATCAAGTCTGACCTTTACATTAATACTTATATTTTTGAAATCTTATTTGGTGTTGCTCAGAACCAACAATTCAATCATGAATTTTAGAGAACACAACATCCCCATGATCATTTGACCTGAAACCTCTATTATTTCAATAGAGTGTGTAGCAAATGTAGAAATATATTTCCAAGTTCTTATTATATATTGTTTGTTAGTGAAATATTGAGATGAATTTGATAACAAAACTTTTAAAGTACATGAGAAATCCATATATTTTAATGTACTTGTCTTTTGTGGATATTTATTAAGATAAGACTGTCAGTGTTTGTATAAGGTAAGGGTCTGAACAGGTAGTTGTTGCTTGTTTGAATAGTACATACTGTAAACGTAATACTTTTACATCATTTTTATTAAGTCAAGGAAAACTGATTAATTTACATGTTTAATGGTGATCAATATTCGAGGATTCCACTTAATTAACAATACATTTTCTGCGTGAGATGGATTTAGTCATATTACTAAGGAATGTAAATTTTTATTTATTATAATAAACCTAGAAAACATCGGTTAGTAGAGACTGAAGACAATGAACACCGTTTATGTTGATTAAATTACCTACATCAAATCCTGACGAAAGAACTTCTGTAAACACGCAAGAACTGGACATATGTTTCGTCCTCGTTTATTTACCCTAACATACTTGCTTCAAGAAGTTTAACCCAGGAACCTAAAGAATTACTACTGCACAATGCTATCTAGGAACCAATTTCAAATTATATAGTTCATATGTGAATGACTCTCCAACTGACTTCGAGCTTAGTGTAAATCCATATTCAAACTCATCAAGTATCCATTAGCACCACATCTGAATAATAAGCGTCATTCCACTTTTACAAGCTAGTTTTTTCAAAATCATGATTTATGGAGTCACGCATGTCCGAAATGATACAGTAACTCACTAATGACAATGGTGACAATCGTACTTAACAATTTTACAATATCATTCTCATTACGCATCTCTGATATTGTGGGTTCGATTCCTTCTTGGAACACAGTAGTGCACTTGTAATAAGTTCTAAATAAAGATAAAATAGCTGCTCAATGATGCTTGAACTTTATTGATTTTCCGTCCATGGTGAAAATTATCTGAAAAGTGAATATAATCTTTAAGAAACCTATTTAACTGAATCCTTT